AAAAATTAAGAATGAAATTACAAAAAGGTTATGAGACTGTAATCACATGATAAGAGCAAAACTTTAGGTTTTTGTTTATTATTATTTTCATCATCATCATCATCATCTCAGCCACAGGACTTCCACTGCTCAACATAGGCCTTCCCCAATGCTTTCCATGGTTTTTTAGTGGAGGACGCGATTTGTAAGCACTATTTAAGACTATACAATTAAAGAAATTTTTACTTTGACCATAGTCAAGTTGTCAGTTAAGTTAGACCTACTCGTTGTTGCATTGTTGCTTCTAAAATAAGGTATTTCGTGCCGTAAGGATAATATGTTGCAATGGGCACAGCTATGTCGCAACTGTATCCTTGGGTAAACGCTCTAGTATTTTGTTGGTAGGGTGACCACACTTTTGAAAAATAAAGAACTCAATAGATAATATTATTATAATATTATAGATAGTTTTTAGAATTGGGTCTATGTTCAGTAGTGGACTATCCTATGGCTGAGATGATGATGATGATAACCAAAGACAAATTAAACATATTAAAAACAAAAGAATATTAGTCTTTGTCGCTAAGTAGTCTTAGCAATTTTTTTTTATTGAAACAAATAGATACCTACTTATTCATTTGCTTTACATTAATTTAATTTTCACATTTTTAACCAAGCTAACGATCGTGGATTAAAATTGTACTGTAAGGAATAGATTTTTATCATAATTTAATGTAGGACTTGAAGTCTCAAATATCTGAAAGTTTGGCCACACTATCAGTCTAGTCAATCAGTGTCAAGCCTTAGTACAAACAGCCTTTCTATTTAAGTACAGAATTTAAAGTTAGCTAAGTACTTAAACAATTAAAGTGATTTATTTTTTGCCAAACGCTTTTTCACGTCCCAGTAGGTATTTTATTAAACCCTCCGGTACTACATAATAGTAATAAATAAATAAAAATATTATACCTATAAATGTAGCAGGAAGGCGCTGGATGCAGGCCGCTACCAACCGGGCGATGTAGAAAGCATTGGCCATTGGGGAAGGCCTATGTTCAGCAGTGGACGTCCTGTGGTTGAAATGATGACGTTAATTTAAGTTTGGGGGAGGATTTATTTGGGGGAGGCCTATAATCCAGCTGTCGTCTTATGGCTGAAATGATGTTGATAATGATGATTTAGGTTTCGTATCCGTTGTCTGCAAGCTTAGTTTGGTAGGGCATATGGTTTGGGACTAGATGACGCTGTGTAATTTTTTTAATTTTATATGTAAATGCTAGTGTTCATCACTCTAAGATCTGACCTTGCTGGAATCGAACCCACAGCCTCAACTGTTATTATAGTTAACGTTATAAGTATTTTATTATCTAGCTTAGTCACATTATTTTAAACTAGCTTTCCGCCCGCGGCTTCGCCCGCGTGGAATTTTGTTTGTCACAGAAAAACTTTATCGCGCGCGTCCCTGTTTCAAAAACCGGGATAAAAACTATCCTATGTTCTTTCCCGGGACTCAAACTATCTCTATGCCAAATTTCATCAAAATCGGTTGCGAGGTTTAAGCGGGAAAGCGTAACAGACAGACAGACAGAGTTACTTTCGCATTTATAATATTAGTTGGGATATGCCTTCAATACTTGACATGATTACCTAAATAGCTTGAAGCAAAATAAGCAAATCTTGTCACGAAGGCACTCAAAGCCTAGCACTTTACTCAGTGAGTGCCTGAGGTATGGGAACGGCATGGGAGGGTGTTTTTGAGACGTCAAACGTCAGCGAGACTTCAGTTATACTTCAGATTTGTATGCTCTGTCACAGAATAATAATAAGTACTACGTACAGAAGTTTTACTTCGCGAAGGTATTTAAAAAGCCTGTCTCAAGAGTCAAGCACCATTTTGTTGACAAACGTCAGTGATCGGCACTGCGCCGAAGCTATAGGGCTGACTTCGGTAAAATGATGTGACGTGAGGTGCCAAACTGCGGAAAATGGCGGAGGAAATACATGATTTAGCATGAATTATCATGAATAATGTTAACTACTTACTACTCAGTGTCTTGAGGCAACTTAAAAAAGTACATTCTGTGTTTTTATTATTATTTAGGCAGTTAAATACTGCACAGTATTTAACTAGTACACCATTTTCTTTATTTTCTTCCATCATACACAAGAATACGCGTGCGTGAGTCAATGTTCGCTCGTATGTGAGGCCTTGTCGAATAGTATCCTGTAGGTGGGCCATCGTGCGTGTTTTGTTTTCGATGTAAACTCGCGGAGATGTACAGGCCTGGCTCTGTCTCGTCATAATTTATCATCCATCATACCATCCTAGACTGCATATCACTTAACACCAGGTGCGATTGCGGTCAAATACCTGCCTTGTCTAGCATAAAAAAAAATGTCACCCCTCCCGTGCCGCTCCCATTCCTCAGGCACTGACTGAGTTAAGTACTAGACCTATAAACACTGGAATCTATGTACGATTTTGTGACAAAATGTCAAGCCTGACATGCCTTTGCTTAATGTCAACATAAAACATGTCGTAATAGGACCTCGCTTGTATGATCTTAAACGTGTTTAGATTACCTACATGACATACAAACTAATCTAAAATCTGTGTGGAATTCAATGTTTGTTACGTGTAGGTACACCTAAGGCGATTATCACAATGCACCGCGCTCCGCCGCGGTAAGCGGGACGACAGATTTAATCATTATATGCATCGGGACTATTTCCACCTCTCGTTCCCATCACTGCAACTCCTGTGTAGCCACTTAGACAGGATCTACAGCTTGATCGCCACAAAAACCCAACCAATGAAGGTCAAGTTTGTCCCGGCGGATAGTTAAACTGTCATTGGACCCGCAACGAAATTAATCAGAAGAACATAGGAGGAGTTCGAAATTAATGTTCGACTTCCTCCATTGCAAAGCGGATGACAGGTGACAAACAAAGGTTTAAAACCTTTAAAAAAAGATTATGCACCACGGACAAAATATCAATCAAGGGGGCCTATCTTATGAACAAATTAGCAACTACCTGCCAATAATATTTTATACAAAATCGCTTAAAAGCACGGACATTTTTCCTTGTCGCGACAAGTCATTATATGCAAGTACCTCAGTTTGTATAGAAAACACGCGCGGCACAACAACACACTAACAACGCGTTTGCGCGCGGGATTCGTTATAATATGTCGCCACGCGGACCGCGGCGGAGCGCGGTGCAGTGTGATAATCGCCTAAATGGCTGAAGCTATTTTGATGAATTTTGGAATAGGAATAGGCTAGGCCTTGGAGGAGAACATAAGCTAGCTTTGTCAGAAAATAATTAAGGCGTAAATAAGGGATGAATTAATATTGAGATTACAAAAAATCTAAGCTTAAAAGACTAAAAGTGGTTTTGTCGTTATGTGTACCTAACCTAGACAATACAAAATCCATATTAAATTTTGCTCACTATAATTTTATTGAAAAACTAGCTGACCCGGCGAACTTTGTTCCGCCTTAATGGCAATAAATAAGCAGACTTTTTATTTTATTTCGAACGGGATAAAAAGTATCCTATGTCCTTCTCCTGGTCCTATAATATGCCCATGACTTCGTCTTTGAACCTAGTTTATTCTAACTACTAAGCTTTATTACTATAGTAATGACCTGATGCTGGAACTGAAGGTAGCTCGTTTTAAATAATTATTTGATTGTAATCGTTATGAAAATATTAAGATGATGATGAAATAACTAGACACGTTATTATAATAATGACATAATAATATAGTAGGTACCTAATTACAACTTTGAATTTAAACTACAAAAAGAAAGTTTTAATTTGGTAATTATGTCTATCATTTAAAGATTTTTCTTATATGTTGTCCTGAAGTGGTGGTAGGGCAAGCTATAAATTATTTGGGACGAGCGTAAAAAGGGCCTACCTAAAGAATTAGAATTTAAAATTGAATCAATACCTAAAATTGTGATAAGGTGGTATACCTTAGTAGTATTCCTCCTAAAGCCCTTTCAAATGTATTTTTAAGTCCTACTTATACGGTTAAGTTATTAGTAGAATGTAGGCTACGAGTATAGGCAACACTGGTAACTTACATTTTAGCCTAAGCGCAGACCACCGACTTTTAGTCAGCCGATAGTTGTGCCCGATTTTAATTTGTATGAAGAATTGGCCGATACCAAATCGGTGTAATGTGCGCACTTTCATACATCTCCGTACTGATTAACAGTCCGACCCAACTATCGGCTATCTAAAAGTGGGTTGCCTGCGTCTAGACTTCACTTACCATCAGGTGAGATACAGACCAAGAGCTTCCTCGTTGTGGATAAAAAGAAATAAAAAATAAACCTTTTCTAAAGCCTGGTCCGTGAGCACGTAGAATTTTGTCCAATGACCCCAAACTACCTATCCTTATCGCTCGCGCGTAATTATGTTACTGTCGCGCTCGCACACTCACTGTGGGCGCCCGTCGCACAGTCGCGACAGCAATATAATTACGCGCGAGCGATAAGGATGGGTAGCTTGGGGTCATTGGACGGGATTCTACGTGCTCACGGACCAGGCTTTAGACAAACATAGTAACCTCTTTCTTTAAAAACTTTTTCCCAATCCTATGTTTCTTTTTATGGCCGCAGCACATTTATCAACCCGGAAAGGAGTTCGCAACCGTATCAACTCGAGGCGGTCTTTGTATAAAACTTCATACTTCAACGCACACTTATCCGCACCGTAACGTAAACGCCTCGCCTCGCGGTTGACAGCGCGCTAAAGGCGATGACAGCTCGAAACGCGATACGGTGTTGATCCCTTTCCGAATTGATATGTTTGCTATGATCCACAACGAGGAATTTTTTGGCCTGCATCTCACCTGATGGAAAGTGACGATCAGGCCGAAGGTGGAAGCGAGCTTCACCCAGAATCCTCAGCCATAGAGGAACTGGCTATCTTACCTCCAACTGCCGGAACACAACAATGCTTCCTATGTTTCTTAATTTTTTCTTTCTTTGTTACAGGTCGAAATCATCAAATTCGAGCATGCAAATTTGATTCAAAAATTCAAAATTAGAATTCAAAATGGCACCTCAAGAAAGAACTCCATGCTGCGACCAAGAGGACGATTCCCGCCAAAATTCCATAGACAACAAACTGTCAAACATCGATTTGGGCGGGGGTTTTGTGAACAAAGGTTACATGAATGACAGCTCCGATGTTGCCAGCGAAAAAAAAGTTACCGAGAATAGTAGAAAAGAGGATAAAAATGACAAACCGAAAAAAGCTACAGATTTTGATGATTTATTGCCTTACGTTGGAGAATTCGGACTGTATCAGAAGATTTTGTTCCTGTTGATGATACCGTTTGCGTTTTTCGTTGCGTTTGTGTATTTTTCGCAAATCTTCATGACGATTGTTCCTGAGCAGCATTGGTGCTGGGTGCCGGAGCTGGCGAACCTTACAGTGGAAGAAAGGTGAGTTTATTATAGTTTTAAGGCTTTAAAGGCACTGAGAATATAGTTCCCACCATATTTTGTACCTTAGTCGCTTGTCTTAAGGTCTAAAAACAATGAAAAAGATTATGTTATGACTGTTGATGGTTTAAGGACGAAGCACACTTAACGGGACTATTCCCACCTCTCGTTCCCACCGCTGCAACTCCTGTGTAGCCAGGATCTCCAGCTTGACCAATAAAAACCCTGAAGGTCAAGTTTGTCAAAGCATAGTTATCAACACGGAAACGGATCGTAACAGTATCAACTCGAGGCAGTCAGTATTCTTTGTATGAACTGTATCACACTGCACCGCGGTCCGCGTGATTACATTAAAGAATCCCGCGCGCAGACGCGTTGTCAGTGTGTTGTGCCGCGTGTGTTTTCTATACTAACTGAGGTACTTGCATACAATGATTAAATCTGTCGTCCCGCGTATGTACCGTGGCGGAGCGCGGTGCAGTGTGATAATCGCCTAAGTGAAGCAACAAATCGAACACGCGTTGAATAGAGTTCTGTGATTGTTTCGCGTACTTATCACCCTGTGCGTCCACGCGCACTGTGGGACCTCATAGTAATGTTTGTGAATACGGGCGTAAGCGCTGAAACATTGCTACAATGTTATTCGTCTTAGGCCCAGAACAGACGGTGAAACGCAACTGCAACGAAACTGCAACTTTCTGATGATTCTGATGAATAAAACTGAAACTGAAAGTTTCAAACTGGTCGCGTCATGTGTGGTCTCTCAACGAACGCTATGGCAGAAACTTAGATGCAACTCAAAAGTAACTAGCAGTTGCAGTTTCGTTGCAGTTGCGTTTCACCGTCTGTTCTGGGCCTTAATTGTTAAAAAATTACCAGTTGCAATGGACTCGTAAAATATTAATAATTTAATAACATGCTCTGATAAACTTTTATAATAATTCGGTCATGCAGAGAACTTCGTATTGTATGAAAAACAGCAAGGTCTGTAATATTCTGTATTGAAGTTTTTAATCCCACAAAAAGTGGTAGTTTCCGCCAAAATGAATTACTCACAAAATAATCTAGATATAATTTTGTCTAGACCTATAATTATGGTACAAAAAACGTGCCTAAAGCGAGTTGGATGAGATTCCTTATTCATCAACATCAGGTCATTTAGTCTCCACTGCAGGAGCACGCCTCTAATTGACCAGAGGCAAGAGGATTTGTCCTACACTCCCCACGCTGGCCAGACGGGTTGGGGAGGCCTAATATTCGGATGTTTGTCCCTTAGCCCAGGCGAAGACCACCGACTTTTAGTCGGCCGATATCTGGCCCCGATTCTAATTTGTATGAAGAATCGGCCGACACCAAGTCGGTGTAATGTGCGCACTTTCTTTAGGATATGTAACAATACCATACAGTCAATGGCGGCGGAGCAGTAAAGAAAAATGTTGGAAAAACTGAAAAAATATTCAAACTATTTTCACATCCTGTATACAAGTTCTAATCCATCAGCTTCACTTATCATACATGTATCAATGTTTTTAACAAAAACATTAACAACTTGCCCTTAAAAAACGTAATTGGTATGTAATTAATTTGATTACATAATGCTAACGGTTCCGGTACGGGCAGCAAAAAATGTCGATCTAACAACTTCTGGGTAAAAAACTGTATATTTTGTACATAATGCTATCTTACTTATAAATTTAATGTAACCTACTGGTTCACTCATGTTTTTTTTAGATAAATCATTTCCTAGGTTACCTTGCAGAATAAATCTTGAAGTATAAGCTAAAACATTGTAAAATTTTATCAAAATTCATCCAGTAGTTTTTGTCAGAAGTAACAAAAAATATTTAATGGTGTGTGGGCCCTGCTCATGGCCCAAATATAGACACGTCCCAAATATAGCTTGCCCTACCACCACTAAGGGACAGCTTAAACTATGGGTTGGTGCTGAGAAGTGGCTAATATGTACCAGGTCTATAACCCAAATCCGTCTGTCAACTGTCACTTATCAAAATGTTTTCGTTCAAAATATCTACGGTTTTCGATAATTTTACATTTTCATATTGTACAAATAAGATTATTTAAACAACGTTAAAGTATAAACGCATCGAAAATTATGGATATTTGATCAACTTATTATTATTCTGTGATTTGATCGAAAACAAATTGAAATTTGACAATTGAAGGACAGATTTTGATTAGGATTAATTATAGCAAACCACTTGAATTATTGACTACTCATTTAAAACTGGAGTATACATTAACCTCTTTTTTGCAGTCGGTTAAATACCTACTAGTTTTTTGCAAACATTTTTTTGCTAATCATACACGGATTCATTGATAAAGCAAGGTTTTATTCAAATTTGATGCAAATTTACTACCGCATTTTTTAAACCTATGACCAAATTGGAGCAAATGTAATCAGAAACTGTATACATATTTAGACCACTTATCTTAGGTTACGTATTATTAATCGGAAATTGAATTAATATAATTAATTGTGTGCATACATTTGGATGTATAAATAAATACACCAAAGTCTTGGTAGAGTTTTCGAGCTATTAGATTTTTCTTTTTTAATAGTACTATTTTTTCTTTTTTATATACAACGAGGAAGCTCTTGACTCGTACATCACCTGATGGTAAGTGACGATCAGGCCGAAGGTGGAAGCGAGCTTCATCCAGAATCCTCAACCACGGAGGAACTGGCTATCTTTCCTCTAACTGCCGGAACACTCAATAATGCTGTTAACATTGTTGTTATGGCGACAGACTTAGGTAAGATGGTGGTAGCTAGCCAGGCGGGCTTAGAACAAGCCCTACCATCCACCAAACCGAACATAAAAATCTGACCCCACTAGGAATTGAACCCGGGACCTCTGCGTCTGAAGCAGGTGGTCTTACTACTAGACCACAGAGGCGGTTATGTGTTAGTTGTTAGTTAGTACCTACTTATTTAACTGTGTATACTTAAGTAAGTATACCTCAAATCTGTGCACTGGCACTACGTTTAAAACCCTACATAATTACTAACTTGCCATATAATCTGTCATATCACAATCACGATCCTGCTCTATAATTTATATGTTCACGTGTTCATACACAAGTTGAAAATACCTATAAAACACCAACGTAATATTACCACAATCTTTACTAACTAATATTTATTTAATATGAAAGATGCAATACCTCTTTATGTATGTCTACTTTTATATTTTCATACTAAACCCTTGAACTAATTTCAATATTAATTTCTGGAGTGTAGGCCACGTACCAGAAAACGCAGCGTGCGACGTCCACCCACATGGTGGACCGACGACCTCATAAAGGTAGCCAGGAAGGCGCTGGACGCAGGCCGCTACCAACCGGGCGATATGGAAATCATTGGGGGAAGCCTATCTATGTTCAAGTGGACGTACTGTGGCTGAAATGATGATGATGAAAACAAATCTTGAAAACGAAGCTGAGGGCTGACACTACACTTTTAAGTAAACAATTAAATATACGACATTGCTAATTCGCATCAATCATTGATACATTTCTAAAAACCAGTTATTTTTCCTTCAAATCGCATTTTTCTTGGTAAACCAATTGAATCTCCATTTAATAGACCATCGGCATTTTGATTTATTCATTATGGATTCTTTAAATAGCTGTTTAAACTACGCGATAATGATAATAAATATTTAATTTATAAAATCTGTAAACGGGACTATACCCACCTCTCATTTCCACCACTGCAACTCCTGTGTAGCCAGGATCTACAGCTTGACCGCCATAAAAAACCAACCAATGAAGGCCAAGTTTGTCCCGGGGGAAAGTTAAATTGTCATTGGACCCGCAACGAAATTAATCAGAAGAACATAGGAGGAGTTCGAAATTAAGGTTCGACTTCCCTCCATTGCAAAGCGGATGACATTGACAAACAAAGGTTTAAAACCTTTAAGAAAAGATTAGCCAGGATCTACAGTTTGACCAATAAAAACCCAATCAGATAAAATCTGTAAAGTAAATTAAAACTACCTCAAAGTACCATTCTGGGAATCAAACTACGACCTCCGGGTTGAAACAGTTCATCTTTTGAAAGAGGTGACTTCAGAAAACCCCAAGTGCGAGTCGGATTCACACACGAGTTCCGTACCTATATCTTACTTACAATATCTTAACGACAGGCAGAATATAGTGAGACTATTACAACTCAATTTACACGACAATAATAAATATTGGATTTTAATTTGGACAAGACAATGCCTATAAAACATTGTTGTTAAGTATTGATGGTTTGATATTTGTTTTTAGATAATATAGTAACTTACTTACAATTAATTACAGCTAGCAAAGGCATTTATGCGTATGCTTTGGGGTCCCGTTTTAGCCAAAAATGTCCACTGCTGGACATACAATGACCGGTCCCGTTGCCTTCACCAGATCATCGGTCCACCGAGTAGTAGGCCTGGCTACACTAACTCGTCCTCCAGTCTGTGGTCTTCAAAACTTCGAACTCCTCTAATCTCCTTCTGATTAATTTCGTTGCGGGTCTAATGACAGTTTAACTTTCCCACGGGACAAATTTGACCTTCACTGGTTGGGATATTAGTGTCAAGCTGTAGATCCTGGCTACACAGGAGTTGCAGCGGTGGGAACGAGAGGTGGGAATAGTTTTTTTCAGTCTGTAGTCGCCACTCGAAAACGTTTCTACCTCCACTATATGTGATATGTGCTTACTGCAACTCGAGTTAAGCAATTCTGTGGCCGATCCGTACCCTTACACGGAACCCTAAAATCATTTTGTACACTATCATCGTGAGTTCCTTTTCAAAGATCATTTCCAAGAAGACACACCTGCGGTTATAAAGTTTAAATCTTACAACTGATTGTAATCTACTAGGAAATGATTATTGTTTAGTTTTTATGCGATAGCTGTTTTTGTTTATCGTTAGGTATAAAATTATTTTGGATTGTTCAATTTTGAGTATTTGATAACACCAGCTAATTTAATTTGTATGATCCAAAGACTTAAGCAATATACGGGACTGTTCCCACCTCTCGTTCCCACCGCTGCAACTCCTGTGTAGCCAGGATCTACAGCTTGACCGCCAATAACCCAACCAGTGAAGGTCAAGTTTGTCCCTTGTGGTGGTGTAACCATCATTGTCTAACCGGACCTTACTGATCCGCCATGTCCTCCGAACTACGTTCGTTCGTTCGTTCGTTTCAGCCAAATGACGTCCACTGCTGGACAAAGGCCTCCCCCGAGGTTTTCCACAATGAACGGTCCTGCGCTGCCCGCATCCAGGCTCTTCCCGCGACCTTTACCAGATGTCGGTCCACCTAGTAGGAGGCCTGCCCACGCTACGTCTTCCAGCCCGTGGTCGCCACTCGAGAACTTTCCTGCCCCAACGGCCATCGTCTCTACGAGCTATGTGCCCCGCCCACTGCCACTTGATTTTAGCAATTCTGAGAGCTATGTCGGTTACTTTGGTTCTCCTCCGAACTACGGCATTATGTATAATCGACTACCTTCAATTTAGCAGTACCTACGGACGGATTTCCTCGACCGACTACGGAAGCAAGCACTTAGTATTGTATACCAAATCTTATTTTGCACGAATAAGTTATTAACTATGATATTGACCCTGACTCACACGTCACTGACAGACACATGTAACGTATGAATATTTTTAAGCAATCTACATAAACTAATATATTATAAAGATGTAAGATTTGTTTGTTTGTATTTGATAGGCTCCAAAACTACTGGACCGATTTGAAAAAAAAAAAAAATACATGACAAGGCGGTTATTTGACTGCAATAGCATTTGGTTGAGTTGGCACCTGAGATGCAGTCTAGGATGGTACCTATCTGTTCACTCTGGCCTTGAAAAGGCCCGGATTATAGTCTTCGGGAAAGACAGCAGCAGGCAGCGAATTCCAGGCCCTAGCTGTTTGCATTATAAAAGAGTTATTGAAACGCTTATTATCGAAATATTTTCACCAAATACATTCATCAACAGCCCTTTACAGTCCACTGCTGGACTATGAGCCTCCTCCACTATAGTGGAGGGTTTTGCCATAATCTCCACGCTTGGCAGTTTAAAAGATTGATGTTTTTCAGAGAGCGCTGCTGCCCATTTTCTGTTTGATGTGTAGTCCCTAAGTCGCCTCTTACGACACCCGCGGGAAGAGTAGGGGTTGGTGACAAATGTATTCTACTCTGCCGTCACCACACGGCTTATTTCACCAAATACATTATTTCTAATGAATTAGGCGGTACGAAATTCGCCGGATCAGCTAGTGTTTTTATAAGTAACTTATGATCGCCCGCGTGTTTTAAATTCTTCCTATGTAGTCTAGTGGATAAGACCCAATAGGTCCCGGATTCGATTCCCAGTAGGGGCGGATTTTTCATTTTGGTTTAGTTGGTGGTAGGGCTTGTTCTAAGTCCGCCTAGCTAACTACCGCTGTCTTTCGCCATAATGTGGGACGTCCGCCACCCACAAGGTAGACAGACGACCTCTTAAAGGTAGCAGGAAGGCGCTGGATGCAGGCCGCTACCAACCGAGCGATATGGATATCATTGGGGGAGGCCTATGTTCAGCAGTGGACGTCCTGTGGCTGAAATTATGATGATGAAATAGCTCGGTCTGAGAAACAAAACTTTTAATCGATTTTCAATTTAAAATCGATCAATTTGCAAACTAAATGGGCGTTTCAACTAATAGTTTACAAGATTCATGTTCTACTTGAAGGCTCTTCCTATATTTTAAAGGAAGTTATTGACATTTAATATTGATTAGAGGAAATTATCGTTATTCAACAAATGGTGTGGTAAGTTGGTAATAAAATTAAACGTTTTAAAATTGCTTCATTACCTACATAAGTAATACGTTATTTGTTGGGATTCACTAACCTAAAGAGTGCTAACGGAACCCTATTAACCCTAAATCTTGAGGTTTTCATGAAAACCCTCATGGTTAGTATAGTGCAGTCTTCTTCTTCTTTTGTTTATTGGCAATGTGCCAATCGTTCGTTTCAGCCAAATGACGTCCACTGCTGGACAAAGCCCTCTCCCAAGGATTTACACAATGACCGATACTGTATAATATCATACCTAATACCATCTTACCTAAGTCTGTCGCCATAACAACAATGTTAACAGCTTTGTTCTGTTCCGGCAGTCAGAGGTAAGATAGCCAGTTCCTCCGTGGTTGAGGATTCCGGGTGAAGCTCGCTTCCACCTTCGGCCTGATCATCACTTACCATCAGGTGAGAATCAGGCCAAGACTTTCCTAGTTGTGGATAAAAAAAATGTGCCAATGTTTAGTGGAAATTGATATAACTCCACAATAGAATATAGGTGTTTCAATTATGATGCTTTTTCATGGATTCCGTAAAAATAAATCCCATAAGACGCCATTGAGTCCAAAGCAAGTTGTTAAATAATAAATTACATAATTAAAACAAAACAGTTCGACCATGCTTTCCGTTCAACTAGCCACCGCGGATTCCCTAGCAGTCTAGGCCACCCGCCAAAATACCTGTCAAAACTGACAGCTGTCACGGCCACCCATCCTGTCGCGACCGCAGCGAAAGTTGCATGAGGCCGTGAGTCACTCACGATGCCAACTGACCTCAGGGGAGGTTAGCAATCAAACAATGCCTCAATGCTGTGCGTAATGAACCGGCTAGATCCGGATTATTAATTCATTGTTCCGCGGTTCTTGCCCGACTGTGAGGAAGAGGGTAGTGTGTTTAGCAAAAATTTAAAAATCTCTTTACACTGCTGATCCTTCTACCTACCATCAGTACCATCCTACTATGTGATGATATAAATGTGAGGGTAGATGGACAAATGTATGAAATGAATATGAAAATGAAAACATTTATTAAACTTAGAAAGTATGAATGTATGTTGTTACTTAAGAGCAAAATAGTTATTTGACGATTTGTAAGTACTAATTAAATAGTCTACTCTACACAAATAAAGAAATTTTGACTTAGACTTTAAAGACTCTTTCAAGCAAAAACTTGAACGGATTTTGATAAAACCATACAGTATTACATGGTATTATATACATCTGGATAAGATAATTACTTAATTTATAATGATTTGTGATAAACTTAATTTTACTTGGGTAAAAGTATAGGTACTTACAGTGGCAAATGATATTATAATAATTAATATTGGTAAGTAATTACCTACTTACTTAAATTATTACTTAATATAATCTGTTTAAATTATGAATAGATACGTTATTATGTTTATTTGATTAGTTAACCTTTCTCTTACATGATTTTTAATAAAATTAAATGCGGAAATGTATCATTTTGTAAATAATTCACACTACAGCCGGAACTATAATGTTCAAAGTGTGAACTAGTTCCTAGATCAAATAAACGATTGCAAAAAACTGGCAAAACTCACAGACCATGAATACCGCGCCATTTTTTTGTTGTTTACGTTTCTATCGATTGTGAAAGATGTAATTCGATTTATTTATTGCGTTTTACTTTTTTTGGTCGATTCTTTCCTCTTTCGTAGGAAAATGCAGTTTTCAGTTTACTATTCCTGCGATTGGTATCGTCATAGCTCATGAATGAGTACTATCATCCAATCAATTGAATGAATCAAGTTTTTTCTGAGCTCGGGGTGGCTCGGGCCCCCTCAGGTCGGGGCCCGTGACATTTTGCCAGCCCTGCCACTCTGTCTCGATCGAATCCGCGACCTCTAGCAGTCCAATTCGTGAACTTACCACAGAATATTCTACTACTCTACGCCAAAGGCCAGTCTTCGATCGATAACCTACCTATATTATTTTATTTATTTTACCAGTGGTCCGTGACCCTCACTCGGCATGGGGCACACTGAAAACCAGCGCCGTGGCCTTCGTCACCGTGGGCCACGGCATATGCTGAGTGGGGTCCCGTTGCAGTGGGCATCTTGTTGGTGAATGGGTGGCACTGCTCAGTTTACTCTTGTTTTTATTTTTTTTCTTCTTCCATTATTGTGTGTTGATTGGATCATTTAACACAACACTTGATATTGCCAAACATAATCATGGGGCAGTATAGAATTGTGGTCAGGTGTCTATATAAATTTCTTTACTGTTTTTTAACTTGATAGTTTAAGCAAAATTCGTTAATGCTGTGGATAACCTTTTTGGCCTAATTAGCTTAAGAAAAATATTTGATTTAAGTCTATTATATGTGTCGGACTGTCGGCTGTTGTTATTCCAAATAAATAAAATAAATAAATAATATTATGTGCCACTGTCATGTCTATGTAATTGCCTGTATTTGTGTGATGTCCATTGTAATAAATGTATCTTTCTTTCTATATTTAGTGTCTACCCAATCGTTTTTACTAATTTCTCATTTCTTCCATTCCAGACGAGCCCTAGCCATCCCCCCCAAGTCCGAAGGCCCGTATGCGCACGACCGATGCCGAATGTACTCCGCTGATTGGACTGCCGCCCTCGCATCGGGCCGCACGACGCCCGACGATGAGTGGCCGATAGTGCCATGTACTAACGGCTGGGAGTACAATAGAAGCGATGTACCGTACGAGACGATTGCTTCCCAGGTAAGATGATTGCGTTAAGAATGTCGTATTATCAACTTAGGGCCGTCCGCTGCTGGACCAATGATTTCTACAACCGATCTCGCGCTTGCATCCATGTGCTTCCCTCAACCTATACCAGATCGTTGGTCCACCAATGACGAATAGATTGTGCCTCTTGTACTAACGGCTGGGAGTATAATAGAAGCGATGTACCGTACGAGACGATTGCTTCCCAGGTAAGATGATTGCGTTAAGAATGTCGTATTATCAACTTAGGGCCGTCCGCTGCTGGACCAATGATTTCTACAACCGATCTCGCGCTTGCATCCATGTGCTTCCCTCAACCTATACCAGATCGTTGGTCCACCAATGACGAATAGATTGTGCCTCTTGTACTAACGGCTGGGAGTATAATAGAAGCGATGTACCGTACGAGACGATTGCTTCCCAGGTAAGATGATTGCGTTAAGAATGTCGTATTATCAACTTAGGGCCGTCCGCTGCTGGACCAATGATTTCTACAACCGATCTCGCGCTTGCATCCATGTGCTTCCCTCAACCTATACCAGATCGTTGGTCCACCAATGACGAATAGATTGTGCCTCTTGTACTAACGGCTGGGAGTATAATAGAAGCGATGTACCGTACGAGACGATTGCTTCCCAGGTAAGATGATTGCGTTAAGAATGTCGTATTATCAACTTAGGGCCGTCCGCTGCTGGACCAATGATTTCTACAACCGATCTCGCGCTTGCATCCATGTGCTTCCCTCAACCTATACCAGATCGTTGGTCCACCAATGACGAATAGATTGTGCCTCTTGTACTAACGGCTGGGAGTATAATAGAAGCGATGTACCGTACGAGACTATTGCTTCCCAGGTGAGTTGATAGCGTTAAGAATGTCATATTATCAACTTAAGGCCGTCCGCTGCTGTACAAAGACCTCCACTAAGAATTATTTCCACAATGACCGGGCTTTCGTTGGTCTAGCTAGCGCGTTAAAAATGTACTATACGGCAAACCTACAGGTAATAGGGCAAACCTACAGGTAATACTTAATGTACTATACGGCAAACCTACAGGTAATACTTTATATCCGTAGCGACGATGAGTGGCCGATAGTACCTTGTACTAACGGCTGGGAGTACAACAGAAGCAATGTTCCGTACAAAACTATTGCTTCCCAGATAAGATGATTGCGTTAAGAATGTCGTACTATCAAGTTTGGGACGTCCGCTGCTGGACAAAGGAATCCCCCAGGGATTTCTACAACGACCGGTTATTCGTGATTGTGGAAGGCTATAATTTTGAAGTTCAAAATGTCAATCACTCAGTCACCATCAAGAAACGAAGTCATGACTTGTGGAGCCGTCACCACCCCATAGATGTCCTAAGAGACGAATAAGCTACCCAACCCATCTGGCCAGCGTGGGGAGTGTAGGTCAAGTCCTCCATTTGCTTCTAGTAAAATAGAGGGTCTTGCTATTGAAATGGAGACTAAATGACCTGATGATGATGATGATGACGTACTAACAAGAGGTAGTGAATCTAAAACAAATGAAAGTCTAGTAGAAGCCATACGTGCTCTTGCAGTGGAGACTAAATGGCCTGATAATAAAACCCAATGCTTTACGTCTCTGTTTCGCTTTACAGCTGGACTGGGTGTGCGAGAAGGACAACCTCGCTGCGACTGCGCAGGCCATCTTCTTCTGTGGAGCCATTGTGGGTGGACTCGTGTTCGGATGGATCGCTGACAAATATGGAAGAATTCCAGCTTTAATGGGTAAGTTGTAAGACCACTTGCTTTAGACCCAGAGGTCCCAGTGAGGGTAAAATTTTCTACTCGGTTTTGTTGGTGGTAGGGATTTTTCTTTGTCCGCCTGCCTAGCTACCACTATCATACCTAAGTCCCGTAGTTGGGTTAGATAGTAAGTTGGGAGTTAGATAGTAAGATAGCCAGTACCTCTGTGGTTGAAGATTCTGGGTGGTGGAGCTCTCTTTCACTTTCAGTCTGCTGATCATTCCTTCATGGAAATTAATAAATCCATCAGAATACGAATCTAGAAAAGTAACTAGAGAAATCGGAAATTCGGAATCCAACGATCATACTGTTAGATGGGCCATTCTTAAATTTGTGCCAATTTTTTTTAAAAAATTAAAGATTTTTTTTTTAAACTTTTTGCGATGCGTATCGAAAGTATAAACCAAAAGCATACTTTTGATGTATATGGACAACCTTAAAGCCCTCGGAAAGGAAACAAAATAGCCTACGTAAACACGGCTGTGACACTGCATGACACGGATGTGACAGTTTTACATTTTTACTGTAAATAATAATATTTATGTTGTTAAATTTATATCATAATAGTTTAAATTGATTAACAATAAAATACACTAAATTCGTTTCATCAACAAAGGTGTTATTTGGTAATATGTACTTTTTTCTGAACATCCAAAAATTTAATTAAAATTGAGATCAAAAATACCGTCAGGTAGTTAATATATCTACTAGATAATAAAAAAATTGACTTTTTATTATTGGCACTATCTGATCATGCTTCCGATATGCTACCTACATGGTTTCGATATGATAATATGCTTAACAAATTAGTAAATCTTAAACACAGTAGGTACCTAATTGAGTATCAAATGAGATTTCTGTAGGATTCACATAACAGTTGGTTTTGACAACTTAAACATGTTTCATAGTCACCGTACCACTAAAAATATGGTTAATAGCAATTCCTTTTAAAACAACTCCGACCACCTCTGCAGGGCCTTTACCGGGAGCTGTCTCAGTAAAATTTGATATTACTGCAGAAATGAGAAAGTGCAATAATTTTTCCTTCGTGGCATCTAGAAAATCATACTAGCGAAAAATAAGTACACTTACTAAAAGGCTACTCCTAAAAATTGCACAATACACAAAATAATTTAGCAGAACAACAAAAACTATTAAAATAATAAAAATAGAATGTCACAACCACGCGTTGTAATGTCACGACCATGTACTTAAATAGTTTGCGGTAGTGACACATTTTTAATACCATGGCCGTGACAATTTGGAACGTGTCCGATATATCCAAAAAACTATCTGTGAATTAGCAGATCTTGTGCAATTATCTGAAACTATACTGCATGAGGTACATAATTATGTTTTATACAATAGCGTGACATTGATACCTACCTTTAAAAACCGTACACGGGATGGACGTGTTATGGTTGTCCCTTTTTTCAAATAAATAGGAAATAATTTTTTGCGGCTCACTCACTACGTTCAGCCATTTGCAAATCTAATAAGATGACAATGTTACTGTTCTAAAAAAACTTAGCAAGGGATGTCAATATCAAAGATAGTTTTTTACCGAGTTACGCATATTTAAAGTGGCGCACGTGGTTGTGACACAAAAACTGCTCACACAATGTTTGGTGTTCAAAATAAAAAATGGTAATTATTATTGATATAAATTTTTAACAGTCTTATATAACATGTATTAATCTTGCATAATTACTGTAATATTTATCAAAATAACATAACATCTCTTCAGAAAAAAATATTGTATGTCCAAATCCGGGAATCTCACACTACACGGTCCGTGACATTTTGGACTTGTAAGTATTTTTTAATATTCTTCTAATAGTTTTATGATGAAAATGATATTGGGCCTAGTTAATAGAGGTATTTTACTAAGTAAATTAATATACAGTGCACTGATTTTCTTTAAAAACATATGCTATTCTTACATCTCACACAAAAATGCGTAAGAATAAGAATGGCCCAGATGTTAAATTTAGTTTGAAATACAACTCTTAACGCTAAAAATTAAATAACCATACTGTTAGTAGAAGTAGATCTGGTCCACTATAATTATTTTTATCATTTTTCAGGCACCAACCTCATCGGCTTCGCAGCTGGAGTGGCCACAGCATTCTGCGACAGCTTCTGGACCTTTTCTGTCTGCCGGTTTCTGGTCGGTCTCGCTTTCGACAACTGCTTCACCATGATGTACATCCTTGGTAAGTGTTTAGTAAGAAATCATTAAAGAAATCATGGCGTACTGTTTATTAGTTTGAATGATGCTGAGAAGCAGAAGTTACGAGTATGTTTTGTATCAATGGAAACGATAATTGGGATTTTTAATCAAGCTAGTAATTTAGGCTCTTTTCAAGGTATTGATTGAGTCCTAAATAAATTCGCCCTACTGCCACTTCGGTATAACACAATTTTTAGTTAAACTTTTGTCAGAATTTTAAACTTTTCCGCTAAGAAAGGAAGAGATAAATGAGTGAAATAGGGATTTGCAAAGTCTAAACTGAAAAAACTGAAAATTATTTAATAGGCATTAGGTATCTTCCAATATCAATGGAGAGAACTCCACCTACTTACTATTTGCTATTTTTGTATCTTTTACATGATCAATATACCTACTATAATACAGTTATAGTGGTGACTCAGTTTGTACTAACTTCTCACAGCACTGCAACATCGGTTTTGAAACATTGGTAGGACCTAAAAAAGAAGACATCTTGCCCTTGGTGTACTTTTCAAGATCTTGTATCATTTCCTTTCAGTTCTCGAATATGTCGGCCCCAAATGGCGAACGTTCGTCGCGAACATGTCCATCGCACTGTTCTTCACTCTGGCCGCGTCCTTGCTGCCGTGGATCGCTCTGTGGGCGGACGACTGGCGAATGTTCGCGCTCGGCACGAGCATTCCCTTCGCGCTTGCTATCGCTACTCCATGGGTTGTTCCTGAAAGTGCCAGGTATGATCCCTACTAATACGCGAAAACAACTCTGTCCTTGTGTCTGTTATGCTTTCACGCCTAAACCACTAAACCGTTTTTTTTTAAAGATTAATAGTTATTTTGTTATTACACCAATTAATAGTCCCGTTAGCCCCTCGTAATAGGTAATTAAAATGCTTGTATCACGAGTGAGCTCACCACAATAGTCAAGCGGCGGCGGGGACCGAACCCGCGTTCCTCGGATCGAGAGTCGGCCAGTCCGACCCCTTCACCGTTCAGCTATCGTGGCTTCAAATTATATTTGGTATAAAAATAGTTTGAATACCGGGAAAGGACACAGGATATTTTTTATCCCAGTTTTTGAAACAATGGGGCAACTCAACGCCTATAAAACTTTCACTGTAAAATAATATCTTCGTTGTCACAATTTGTTAATTTATCAGTAGAACAAGACTACAATTTTTATAGCAAACTCGTGACACAAATGCTATTAAAATTTAAAATTCCTAACACATAATAAGAATGAAACATTTTTTTGTTTCAGATGGTTGGTGTCGCAGGGCAAGATCGATAAAGCCTTGACCATCATGAAGAAGTTTGAGAGAATAAACAAAACTAAGATCCCGGACAAAGTTCTTAGCGAATTCACGGTAAGTATGCTTTTTAAAATAAGTGCCAATCAATATAGTACAACACTTAAGGGTCCCAGATATGACATTGAAGGGAGAGCGCTATTATTATCAATACTGGATTATTAGTTCCGATTTTGCTATTACAGAATCGTTTGACTATAGGTACATAAAATTGCGAGAAATTGTCAATTTGCCAAAAGGAGAAAACTTTTTTACTTGAACTCCTATGTTCTTCTGTGGGCTGAGTGTGAGTTTTCAAAAATGTAAGAATATTTTAGTTTTTGAACGTTTCCCGCTAGGGGCGCTGTACAATCCGTCATACATTTAATGTCATTTTTGATGATAAAAACTCACACTAGGTCCTCTGATTAATTTCGTAACAAGTCTACGAAATTGACAGATTCTGTGAACTACCAACCATGCATCTCTCTTTGCCATGGCAATCCAGTTTTGCGCGTTCCTACATTACTGGATCCCACAAAACTGGACGAAAGTATTCCGGTTACTGCAGCTACGGCGTTTTAAGGTACGGATGTTTTAAAAAAAATATGCAGGAAGCTGCTAATGGGAACACTTCTATTGACAACCGAATACCAAATTCGGGACTGAATACTTCTAAAGTCTGGTAGCCGAGCACGTAGAATTTTGTCCAATGACCCCAAGCTACCCATTCTTATCGCTCGCGTGTAAGTATATTGCTATCGCGCTCGCACACTCACTGCGGCCACCCGTCACACAGTCGCGACAGCAAAGACTAAACGGGATCGTGCAACAAAAACCGATCCCTTCGAATTTTTATAAACACATAAATAATATAACAAGCAATAAAATATGTATTTGAATATTACAAACCAAATTTTCTCCAACAGGAGGCCTCCTTCAAAACAATCAAGGACAGCGAAGCTGAATGCCGTACCTACTCCGTCCTCGACCTCTTCAGGACGCCTCGTCTCCGCCGCAACGCTGTCCTCCTCATCGTCATTTGGATGGCCATATCCTTGGTCTTCGATGGCCACGTCAGAAACGTGGGGTCTCTTGGCCTGGACATCTTCTTGACGTTTACAGTGGCGTCTGCTACGGAGTTGCCTGCTGATACGTTCTTGACTGCTGTTTTGGATAGGTGAGTGTTTCTGTCGACTATAGTTCCAGCTTCTTCGTAAAGCATTTTTAGGTAGGTATGTCATAGATGAAAGTGATTTGTTTCCCAATTGAAAACACTTTTTACCAAAGTAAAATCATGACGAGAAATACCTTTTCAATACGCAAAGAAATCCTAGTGAGTATCGAACAATGAAATTTCTATCGTATCTAGTGTCTCTCGACAGTCAGAGACTTATAAATTAATGCTACATATTACTGGATATTTTAAAATTTGTAATTCATCCAGATAATCATTTAACACTTTTATTTCTTTTTTAGGTGGGGCAGAAGATGGCTTGCATGTGGTTCCATGGTCATCAGTGGAATCTTTAGTTTGCTTGCCACAGCAGTACCCGTAGGTGAGTATAAAATATGGCCTGAAGTGTAGGCCAAATCCTCCATTTCCTCTGGTAAACTAGAGAGAGTCGTGCTCCTAGTTAAGATCAATGACCGTATTATTGGGAGAAAAAAACATTTTTCGAGATTTTGGCACCTTGGTCGGGAGAAACAAAAAAGTAAAAAAATAAATACAAAACATGGAATAAGCCAAATCCTTTACCATCAGTTTGTTATTTTTCGGGAGATTTTTACTGTCGGGAATCGGAGGACATACGCAAATTCGGGACCATCTCGCCAAATTCCTGACCATCTGGCAACCCTACCTGTAGTGGAGGTTAAATTAATAACCTGATTTCATTTTTTCTTTTTTACTCCAAAACTCAGGTGGACCTTCAGCATCGCTGGCTATCCTCGGGCGGTTCGCCGTCAACATTTCTTACAACATCGGCTTGCAATATGCTGCGGAACTGCTTCCCACAGTAGTCAGAGCTCAGGGAGTGGCTCTAATTCATATTATGGGCTACGTTGCTTCAATTGTGGCACCGTTCGTTGTGTATTTGGTAAGTTCCTTCTTAATAATAGTAATGGTTTATAAAGCTGAAAGTCAGCGAGTAGGTAACATAGCTAAACGGGCTTGAGCCAGAAATATTCTCGAGTGGCCAAGAAGTAATGTAGGCAAGCCTCCTCAGTAGACCTTGTTCTAGGGAAGGTTACAAGAAGCAACTGAATGCGGGCAGAACCAGTCGTTGTAAAAATCCTAGGTCTAAAGCCGTATTTAATGTTCCCAAAATAGAGCAAATAAATGTATTTTTGTTTTTGTATGAATTTAGCTGATATAATGTTCTGACTGATGTTAGAACAGAAATTGTTCACCATCCATTTAGTAGTTTCTCGTAAAGGGTTACAATGATCCATTGATCCTCATACTATAACGTTTGTATTATTAGTAACAATAAAATCTCCCTGAGTTGTCTGGTAGAGGTGACTTCCTAACGTAAAGACTGTCTAAATTCTGCCGTGCTAACTTAGTATTTTCTTTTATGTGTTAATGTGTGGTGTAATAAAGTATTTATCATCATACTATCTGTCTATCTAAATTGAGTAAACCATCTTCTCCAGGCTAACATCTCCCAAGACCTGCCACTGCTGATCCTGGGAGTCCTGGGAGTGATTGGCGGTCTCCTCTGTCTGTTCCTGCCAGAAACCATGGACACCGAGATGCCTCAGACGCTGCAAGATGGAGAGAACTTCGGGAAGGACCAGAAGTTTTGGGACTTCCCCTGTTTCCCTAGGTAAGATATTTCAAAGGTCACGACGTGTATTTGAATTTTGAAGAGTGAAAGATCTAATTCTTTATAACATTATCACGATGTTTTATGCAAAACAAGGCATGTATTAGATTTTAAACCGCAATCACACCTGATATTAATTGATATTATTATGCTGTCTATGGAAGCGTATACCTGCCCAGTAAATGCCTATTCATTAATCAGTATAATTGGCCAAGAAAGGGCCTATGTACTGAATAAACTATTTGAATTAGAATACTTGTCTATTAGCTGTCATCTATTTTGATATGAAACGACATTATGTAAATTTAATAGATACAATCATGGCATAAAGCTAAAAGACACTTATGTTTCATGTACCCAAGATTTTTCACACTCTAAAATTACAAGAATTAAAAAATATTATTTTGTGCTAATTTTACCTTTCTTTCACAGAAAAAAATCATCGGAAGAAGATGAAGAAAATCCCGGACAGTACAGGAAGCGAGAATCTATATCGAGTAGCAAAGACGAAGGTTTCGTAAGATCTCTCCCAGGCATAGGCTCTAGAGCATCCATACGGGCCTCAGTCCGGGCTTCCGTCAGATCACGAAAGACAGAAGGAGAACAGAGAGAGAACGCTGTATGAAGAACTTTACTACTCTGACTGGTTTAAGTATGACTAATGGTCTTTTAAATGTGTCACGGTATATTTGAATTGTTTTGATTTGAGTATTTAAAGACTTGTGTGGTGTTGTGATGCGTTTATTTGGATGATGTGGTGATCTATTCAATGTCGTTTGATAGCCATTTAGGTGGTAAAGTAATGCACTCACTCCTTACAATTTTAAAAGCAATGTTGGTTCTGTAATTGAATTCTAAAAAAGTATGGTAATCTGTGCTTGTATAGTTGACATGATTTTATCTGAGCATTGTTGACGTCCTAAGCAAGACAATGCCATATTGTAAAATATTAATTTATCAATGTACCTAATAGTAACTTTCTTGTTTCTTTTTGTGGAATATATTACACTATCATCTTTCTAAGGTTTCCTTGGTAAACACAAGAGATTTGAATATATTTTAAAATTGTCAGTTTTTGTTAAGTTTAGGTAGTTTAATGACATGACTTAGTACAGTTTTTATAAATAAAATTTTAAGGAGTGTGTGGTAATTTGTAAATTATTTTGTGTAGAATCGTTATCTAAATTGTGAGAATTAGTACAACTAATGTTCATGCCCACCCAGTCAATGAATAATGAAGAAGGCTGTGCTGTTGTGTTGGATACTATGTTTAAGTGTACTATAGTCAGCGTCATATAGTTCGTGGCACCCAAAGTGGCCAAAAAGTTGACAACACACTTGACTTACTTGACTTATGGTCCTATGTCCCCTAGATGGGGCAGAGGGCGTCCACAACAGTCCTCCATCTCGTTCGGTCTTGAGCTTCTCGCTTGATCTTGCTCCAGGTCTTGCCGATCTTCCTCGCCTCGTCCGCTACAGTGCGCCGCCAAGTTTGCCTGGGTCGACCACGTTTGCGTTTTCCTTGGGGATTCCAATCCAGAGCCTGCTTAGGGATGTGATAGGGGTCCCTTCGGAGAGTGTGGCCAATCCAGTTCCACTTGCGGCGCTTGATCTGCTGGTCGATCGGAATTTCGTGGCAGCGTTCCAATAGCTCGACGTTGGAGATTTTCTCGGGCCAGTATATGCCGAGAATTTAGTTTGTCCAGGTTGACAACACAACCTTATTCCAATTGTAACAAAGACGTGTTGCGAACTTTTTGGCTACTTTGGGTGTCACGAACTATTTGACGCTGACTACAGACGACGGGATGTCAAGCTAAACATTTGCACCTTAATGTAGTGTTAAGAAGGTCGATTTTGCAATGTATAGTCTGAAGTGCTGTCGTCTGTACTACTCGTATATTCACATGATGACAATTGAAATATGTGTTTTATTGTTGTCATGAGAAGGACGTAAGTATAATATTTATTATTAGTAGCATCAGAGTAAATACAAATGAGTAGGTCATCTTCATAGAAACGCACCGAGCGCAACACCCCGCTAATCCACGCTAAATTTTGTCAGTGTATGCGTGCGCGCCTCATACGTATAGGCGCGCTCACATACAAAACAAACCGCGCTCGGTGCATTTCTATGAAGATAACCTACTCATTTGTATTTACTCTGGTAGCATTTTCAAGTGTTTTCTGTCTGGATGTATATTTTTGTCATTTACTTACCACGTCATCGGTAACTCTTTATCGAGAAAAAATATAATTTGGAAAAAAAGACGTATATAAGAATGCTATAGTTTGTCTTAATTAATAAGTAACAAAAAACGTCGTTTCCAGTTGTAAGTGAATGGTAATTTAAATTTAAAATAACCTTAACTATTAAATGGCAGATGCGATTTTTATATAAAATAGAGGCCAATAGAGGCCAATGGAAAGTCTTGAATTCAAATCCTACTTATTTTCATTGCAAATCGAATCACAATTATTTAAAATTCTAATTTCAACCATCATATTATTTCAATTCGTTCAGTCAGCCATCTCATTTGTTATAAACAATTTACACTTTTATCCTAAGGATATACGAGTACTCGTATTGGCAAACATTATTATGCCTTTAAGTTGTTATCATCATCATGATCATGAAACTAACTGCAAACAGATGCATCGTCAATTGCTCCACAAACAACATGCAAGTAATATTTATTGTATTTGACATCCAATAGTTAGCAGGCTTTAAAGATCTCGATCCAGTGCAAAATGTAAAATGTTATCAATTTATTAATTTTGTAGAAACTAGTTCTACTATCTTCATTCGTGTTGATTTCTATCTGTCAGAAAAGGTGTTTGTCGTGCTTCAAAAATTTTATGAAACATCTGTATCTAATTACTCAACTACGCCAAATATTCATCTCAGTCATTCTTTTATACTTTGGTCAATTGAACAGCCTCAACTTTATGCTTGAAATTAGTGATACGGCTACCTCCGTATCAGGCTCAGTCGTACGATGTCGTACGATGAACAACAACGAACCAAGGATGGGTTAGATTTTAGATCCCCGTCTGCAATGCCCTTTTTAAGATGCCCTGTTTGCAATCAACTTTTTTGGATGTCCTATTTTATAGATGAAAGGGCTTCTAACAAAAAGAGCATTTTTAAGGCACGCAACGTCACTGCTGAATTCGAGCTTGGCTTATAATTTTTGTTTCAATCGCGTCTCTTCCACTAGACGAATCTTTAAACCGTGTTGATCTAAACGTGCTCGTTCAATAAAAACCGATTGGATGTCTACCACAGATGCACATTTAATAAATGTGCGGTCATTTCAAAGCGAACCTCTGACCTAACAATTGCTTCGTATCATGGACATTTTTATTGCCTGTTCTATTTTTGGTACAGATCATAAATTGTGGTGTCAAGTCATTCTTTTGTTTATCTGACAGTACCTATATTTTTAATTGTTACTAAGTGTCACAACACACAAAAAATTGGTATGTCCAAATTGTAACTTTCTCGTGAGATTATTTTCAAGTTTAGGACTTAAATTAACTAAATTTCATCTTTTTGATTGGTGAATTCATCAAACATCTTTTTCGAAAAATCTAATGACGATGGGAAATAATTAAAATTGCAAATTCCAATGACATCTTCCTTGTAGAGAACACTTGAAAAAACTAGAATTTTGGCTAAATTGATAAAAATTGTGATAATAACGTAAAGTACAATTTGATGGTAGAATCGTCCTGCTTGAGTGAAGCAAAAATGCATAGTTAATGACATCATTAATCATTGCAATTACGAATTTGCATAATGACAAATTGCAATTGTTAATGATTTTAAATTAATAATGGACACGACCAGAGACAATTAATTGTAAGTGATAGTAATAGTAAGTTATTGTACTTAAGTTTTACTATATTTAATTATAAGTTACCTAATAATGTAAATATTTGAAAATTTTAAATTTGTAAAAAATTAAATTCAAGATTACAATTGCAAATGGGATTTGAATTATTATTAAATTTGTGTGCCTCACTTGAGAATCGAGTTCAGTACTTCATAGTCAAGATATTATTTTTAAATTCACCTTTATATGTTTTCAAAATCGTAGCGGTTTGCAATCTGAAACTGTGATATTATTACAAAAATTAATGATATTTATTTGTGTTGGTCCTTCATTAATTAAATCCCATAGTTGTAATTTTACATGTTACCATATTTTATATTATGGAAAATTCGTTTGAAAATTGTAAGTGTATTTTTGTATGTTGCCATTCTGCGAGAGCGTGTGCAAATTTAATATTAAATTATTATGTTGTGATCATTCCATTCTCTGTGATAGGTAATAATAAATATGTTCACTAATGTATATTTTTTTTAATTTCTTTGTCTATTTTTGTTTTTTTTTTCTAACTGTGCCCACAGTTCGTATTACTTCGTATACGCGTGAAAATAGTTTGAATATTTTTTCCCGTTTTTGCAACATTTTTCATTGCTGCTACCGATAAGAGGGGATCGGTTGTAGCGTGATAGTATAAATCGTTTCATCCGCGAAGACGCGCCCCACCATTCTTCCGCTAATGTTTGAGTGTCATTTATCGGTACACGCTAAATGATCCATGAGTGCACACGCCACACTATAATCATGATGCTCGGATTGCTCGGATCAAACTCCCCGCACCCCGCGCTTCCCTCAACCAAAAATTGGTGGGGCGCGTCTTCGTGCATAAAGCCTTCCTCGATAAATGAGTTAATAATAAGAGGGTTGTGAGTTCTGACATCATTACTACTTACGGGACTGTCATCCATCATCATCAAGTCATTTAGTCTCCACTGCAGGAGCACGACCCTCTCCAATTTACTAAAGACAAATGGACGATTTGGCCTACACTATTAGATAATTATAATATACTAGCTTTCCGCCCGCGGCTTCGCCCGCGTGGAATTTTGTCTGTCACAGAAAAACTTTATCGCGCGCGTCCCTGTTTCAAAATCCGGGATAAAAACTATCCCGGGACTCAAACTATCTCTATGCCAAATTTCATCAAAATCGGTTGCGAGGTTTAAGCGGGAAAGCGTAACAGACAGACAGATAGACAGACAGACAGACAGACAGACACACAGACAGACAGACAGACAGAGTTACTTTCGCATTTATAATATTAGTTGGGATGATGATTGTCATTAAAACTGTTTCATCATCATTGGTTCAAATCAGTAATCAAACCGGGACCGTTCTGCGGCATCTAGTTGGGGCAGGATCTCTCTCGAATGGGCTTGAGGCTAACAAGCTATAGGGACAATTTCATACAGTAGCCGTTTAAACAGTCATCAACAGTAGAATACATTTAACGAAAGTGGAACGTTCGCTAGCGCTAGAATGTATTATACATTTTAAACACCCCTGTATGTCTCTCTCTCTCTCTCTCTGTCTGTAGAGACGTTTAGTTTGCCAATGGTTAGGTCGGCTTCCGATTTGTACGAGGAATCGGCCGATACCAAATCGGTGTAATGTGCGCACTTCCATACATGTTCATACTGATCAACAGCCTGACTAAACTATCGGCCGATAAAAAATCTGTAGTCTGCGGGTAGGCTGATATTCTAATTAAGGTATGAACTTTCATATTACGTAGTACTGGAATTTGTAATTCATATTTCATAGTCCGGTATTGTGTGTTCACACGACAGTCCAGTTTTGTATTACTAGAACCCTAAAAACTGGATTGCTGTGGGAACAATCCCAGATTAGCCCTTCTCTCAAATTCAGAAACCGGGTCTGAGCATAGAATTTTTAAGCGTCCAATAATAAGTGTAGGTAGGTATGCCTAACGCTATTTTCTTAACGCAGTCATTCAACGGGTATGAATTCGCCCTTAATTATACAAGAACCATCTAGATAATTGCTGTCTGCACAGCGTCTGATTTAACTCAATCGTATTGTGACATCATACATTCTCTGCAATAGGGTGCTTGACACCACGAGTCAATTGATGTACTTTTTATTTTGGTACTAGAAACCGCCCGCGACTTTGTACGCGTGGATCCCGTTTTACAAAATCCCGTCTTAGTGAGCACCTAGGTACTTACGTTCTAAAAGAAATCCCATGCAAAATTTGAGATTCCTAGCACTTGTAGTTTCTGAGATTTCGTGATGAGGAGTGAGTCAGTCAATCAGTGACCTTTCGCTTTTATCCTAGATGTAACAGAGCGATATGCCTATGTCACTCAGAACCAGAACTAATACCAGTTTCAGGAGTTCCAGAAATCAATTTTCTATCCACAACGAGGGCTCTGGCCTGCATCTTACTTGATGGAAAGTGATGATCAAGCCAAAGGTTAGAAGCCACGATAGCCGAACGGTGAAGGGGTCGGACTGGCCAACTCGTGATCCGGGGAACGCGGGTTCGGTCCCCGCCGCCGCTCGACTATTGTGGTGAGCTCACTCGTGACACAAGCATATTTAGCTTAGTACGAGGGGCTAACGGGAATATTAGTAATTTGTGTAATAACAAATTACTAATAATCTTTAAAAAAAAAAAAAATAGGTGGAAGCGAGCTTCACCCGGAATCCTCAGCCACAGAGGAACTGGCTATCTTACCTCTAACTGCCGGAACACAACAATGCTGATAACATTGTTGTTATGACGACAGACTTAGGTAAGATGGTGGTAGCTACCTTTTTTTAGGTGGACTTAGAACATGACCTACAACCAATCCAAACCAAGCAAATACAAGTATAAGTGTAATATTAATAGGGTACTTCTCATTTACACTCAAATTTGATGGTCACACAATAATAGTTCATAAACGGTATAAGTTAGAACAATAACTTTGAAATCAGATGATAAAATATCTATTTAGCTACATATAAAATAAATTTTATCGTAATAGAAGCAAAACTAATACGAAAAAATCACATGAAACGATAAAAAACGGGGTCATTTTTCGCGTTCTCATCGTGTCACACCTTCGGTTGCAATGAAACATTTGGTTACTGCATTCACAATTTTCATTCAATTTGTGTGCAGCATATACTAAAATCATCGTAATTAAATATGCTTTCCACACAATAGTCAAAAAAATATCTTCTTATAATTATTTTGAATTGGGAAAGCGAAATACGTTGGTCACACGATTTTAGGTACCTAAAATTTTGAGTTATAATACAAGATTGCCGTTAAACCGAACACCAGCAACCAATCACAGCATTCTATTCGGTTAACGTAAGTCGCGCTTCGACCATTGGGGAGGTGAGATAGGTCGATCGTCGCTCCGCGAAAAAAATACGTAACTTTTTGTGATTATCCATAGACATACCGTCGCTTGCTTGAACAATATTTTCTACCTCTAAAATTTAAACAATTTAATTGAAACTTTGCCATTGAAAACTTAACATGTTAGACTTATTTGTGTAGTATTCAACTTGAACCGTTAAATTCAAATTTAAGGATAATTCATAAAAAACTAAAATTTTCGTCACCTTCGTGGCATCACCTTCGTGGTGTTTTATACACGAAGGTGATTTTAGGCCACGAAAGTGATTTCTTGCTTTGGTTTATTTTAAAATATAGTGACTGGTGTTTATGTTTTTACAATATTTTAATAACTAATAAATTATACGTGGTAAGTAGAGATCAGTACATCAATAAATAAATAAGGGCCTCGTATTTTTGTTGTCTGTTTGTCTGTGTGACTGTATGCATGTCTGTATATGTGACTGTGTGTGTATCTGTTTGTAAGATAAATTTAATCTGAAGTTTGACTTAAAAGTTGTATAACAAAAATACGAGGCCCTCTGGCCTAAATAAAAAATATATTTTTGTTGAGGGACTGATAATCAGTTAGAGTTCTTTTTTATTGAGGTACTGATAATCCGTTTTTTGCTTCTTTAGCATTTCAGAATGCCACCAGTGTCACCCTTAAAACCAATTGCGTAGAATCTTGTAACTTAGTAGGTGGCGTAATCGGTAAAATTTTATCTTGTATTTAAGTAGGTACCTATTTATATTATGTTATTACTATTTATCTATGAAAATAAGACAAAATATATGTTTTATAAACACTTAAGAGTCATTTACAGTAGTAAAGTTTGAAAAAATTATTGCTGTGAATCACTTTCGTGGCATCAAAAAATTCAAAACGTTAAAGCTTCCAAACGAGACTCACTATTTGCCTGATTTACTGAGAATACAATCTTCACATCAAGCGCTACAATTTTTGTTTACAAAAAGTTGAAATAAGTTAGAAATAAAATTCGCCACGAAGGTGACGATGAGAACCGTGGCGATGAGAAATAGCCAATAACAGTAGTGTCTTTTATCAACCAATGATTCACACCGAGAAGGTCGACTATTTTCGATAGCACAAATAGATAATGTGTCTCAGTAATATCAATATTTATTATGTCACTGGCGACGCTCTTTCCAACTTTAGTATTTAGCTATTTGTTGCTATCGTTGCAATTTTGGTTCATAAAACGAAGTCAAATTAAAAAGCTAGTATTCCATAAAACTCATTTATTTTTGCAAATAGGCGAAGCACTTTTATCGTCCCAGTATTAACCCTACCACTGCACTGCTTCGGGACAATAAATGGGCCAGTGCTGAGAAGAAGCAGCGCAAGAAACTCAGTCACTATTGTCATAACGAAAATGCATCGCGTTTGCATCAAAACTATTTACTTAATATCTTTCTGTGCTGTTGAATTATGGTGTATGTGTGTCAGTAAATAGAGTTCAACGTCCAATAACACGTGTAAATTAGTAGTGATGTGCTGAGATTCGAACTACAAGTACGAGTAGGTATATTTCGTAGTAAAGCGAGTTCTGATTTGAGTATCGTATTGATTCGAGTCGGCCTACAGTGGCAGGGTTGTATGCTATGACAATAATAAATTATTACCTTTACTTTAGTTGTTGATACAAAAATTAAGTAGGTAAGTACCTTTCGTACCCACCGCTGCAACTCCTGTGTAGCCATGATCTACAGCTTGACCGCCAATAACCCAACCAGTGAAAACTAAGTTTGTCCCTGGAAAAAGTTAAACTGTCATTGGACCCGCAACGAAATTAATCAGAAGACTATAAGAGAAGTTAAGGATCGACTTCCCTTTCTTGCGACTGGAGAATGCATTGAATTGCATACCCAATGGCCCGGGGTGACCAATGGATTATGTGGAGCTCTCCCTGTTAGGAGAACAGGGTCTACCCACTAAAAACAAGTCGTGTCCCTCTATTCAAAACAAGCGGTGACTCCGCGCGTACTTCGAACCTCAACATTAGGAGGTTTTCCTTCAGTAAGCGAGACAGCGAAGCAAAAATACTCGAGTATCGTACTCTACATCGCACATCACTATCGTATATTGTTAGTAATTGGTACATCACACATAATCAATGGATCGTATAAGAACACTTGTAGTATTTGTTCCGTACACAACGCACGCGCATCTGTTTAGTTACAATTTGCAGTGATATTTAAAGTCATAGAGTCTTTGGTGCAACAAACGGACAAACGAGGTAAGTAAATATATGTATACAGGGTGGAAACGATAAGTGATCTCTCACGTCCACTGCTGGACAAAGGCCTCCCCCAAGGATTTTCACAAAGACCGGTCCTGCGCCGCTCGCATCAATGCACCTCCCGCGACCTTCACCAGATCGTCGGTCCACCTTGTGAGAGGCCTACCCACGCTACGTCTTCCGGCTCGTGGTCGCCACTCGAGAACTTTTCTGCCCCAACGGCCATCGGTTCTACGAGCTATGTGCCCCGCCCACTGCCACTTGATTTTAGCAATTCTGCGAGCTTTGTCGGTAATTTTGTTTCTCCTGCCCTTTGATCTTACTCAATCATTTCTAAACTATACAAGATATCGAAAAACTGGTTACTGGTCCGGAAAGTGCTTCGCGAGCTTTTTTAAACGATATCAATAATAGCTTACAGAATAAACTAGACCTATCCGAAAAGTCAATGTTTCCAGCTTCCGAATAAGCTTTTTTTGTACTTTTGGCCAAATCGGAATGTTCCAAGCTTAGCACCACTTCTATGCACGTGTGCCATGGAGCTTATCTAGTATCAAGTGACTTAGGGTATTTTACGGTCCCCTCTCGTACAATGGAAGTACGCAAGTGACGTAGCCGACGTAGGGTATCTCTCGTACTATGTAAGTACGCACATTATACCGACCAAATCGGTATATTATATAATCGGCCGATTCCTCATACGAATTGGAAGTTGACCTAACTATCGCTTGATTAAAACGTCTGCGAGGAATCTGTACTAGCAGTCAATTGATACTTTTAGCACTTAAGGCTGGGTTGCACCATCTTACTTTAACAAACGTCAAAAATCTGTCAAACTCCATACAAAAACACCGGTTATCGGTAAAGTTTCCGTTAAATTTAGGCGGCGCAACTCAGCCTTAAGAACTGTCAAAACGTGACTTTCTCATGGATTTCTAGCAAATGGATCCTGTGTCGACGCTAATTTTAACACCACTCCAATCTTCCAGAGGATGTCGTAAGAGGCGATTAAGGGACAAACATGCGAACATCAGGCCTCCCCAGCCCGTCTGGCCAGCGTGGGGAGTGTAGGACAAATCCTCTTGCCTCTGGTCAATTAGAGACGTGCTCCTGCAGTGGAGACTAAATGATTTGATGATGATGATTAGAATGGTTATGATTTGAAGGTCCTGCATTACTGGATCCCGCAAAACTGGATTGGTAAGGCAAAGGGCATTAGATTGTGAATTAGAGATGCTAAAACATAACCCACCGATAAGCGCAGTTGGGTGAATTCGAGTACTAATTGGCACTGATGAAATAACTAATTATTTATCATCATAATTAAGTACGAGTTAAAAAATAACTAAAAACAGACCTTTCTTATCAATTACACAATGTTGCAAATACTGGTATTAACCAGTTAAAACCGGTTGACGTCAACAAGTGGGTAAATATTTACCTTGCTATTTGCTTATGTGCGCAAATGTCTTTTTGTGATATGACCAAGCCTTCTGCAAATATGGTTTTTCTAGACTACTGTAGAGAAGTTTTATTTTACAATCTCTTTATAAAAACACTTTATTCTATCTTCCATACTGACCTAGTTTCCAAATTGCTGTAAAAATAGGTTTTACATCGTCATCAGGTCATTTAGTCTCCACTGCAGGAACACGACTCTTTCTCATTGACCAGAGGCAAATGGAGGATTTGTCCTACACTCCCCACGCTGGCCAGACGGGTTGGGGAGGCCTGATGCTCGCATATTTGTCCCTCAGTCGCCTCTTACGACATCCACGGGAAGAGTGGGGGTGTTGTCTATTCTGCCGGAATTATACAACTATGTTTCTAATCTAATAAATAAATAGGATCCCCTTAACAAGCTCAGATAAATACCTAAATATGTACATAACAACCAATATGTTGATTTGGTAATGCGTGAAAAATTCCATGTTTTATTAACCTTGGATGTTTGGGTTTGTTAGCATGGTGGGCTTCCAAAAATAGTCCGAGTTGTTAGCAGAAAATTAACATTTCTAAAAATGGACGTGACTCCTTCAATAGTTTCAATTCGAACTATAGGACTAGCTTAAGTTAGTCAGTGCCTGAGGTATGTGAGCGGCACGGAAAGGTGTTTTTGAGAAGTCAGACATCAGCTAGACCTCAGATATACTTCAGATTTATGTTCAGAATTGTATTCTCTGTCACGTCATAATATGTCATTGTCGCTCATACCTCACAACTAGACCTATTTAATCCTGCCGTGTAGGGCAGGACGTCCGCGGAAGGCGCCTTGGTCGTTTCTAGTATCTACCCAAGGCGCCGACCACTATGCGGCAGAGGGAACACCCCAGGTTTTTAGTGGGTTCCAGCCCCACATAACCTGCCGTCTCCCGGTGGTAGATATGGATAGACATTTTCCTGGGCAAAAAAAAGGTGGACCTAATAATATATTGTAGTGTCTGGTCGAAGATCCGAGTTACTTCGGTTAAAAAGGACTGAAGTTTTAGCCGAAAAATGGAGTCAAAATTTTATACAAATAGGGTTTTAAAGGAGTAGAGTTAAAACTTATATGTTGACTCTACATAAGATGATGAATTTTCGTCTTGGCAATAATTTCCATGAAAATGTTTTTGGTAGGATAGGTTTATGAAGGAGGCATCTAATAATTTAAATTGACAATAGGCCAATGATGGCATGGCTTGTTGGACTGCCGATCCAAGGGTTGGTAGTTCGAACCCCATTAAAAATAAATTTGCTGTAGTAACAAAAAAATACCGGCCAACCTTTGTGGAAATCGTTGGGGGAGGCCTATGTTCAGCAGTGGACGTCCTATGGCTGAAATGATGATGATGAACAAAAAATTACACACTTGTCCTTGTCAGGATAAAATATTTATAAAAACAAATTAATAACAGAAGTTTATCATATCAAAATGGATCTCAATTATCTAAGCGCGTTAAACTAAAAGTCAAATAAAATTATCTGCCTCTATAACTCGGTAAATACTTAAGTAAATATACAGAACTTGTATAAAATGAACAGATGGTAACGTAGGACTCATTAACCAAATAGTTATTACGCGTTACTATACAACTGAAATTTCGACGTGTAAGTTTAAATTTAATATTTTTGAGAGAATACTAAATTAATAGTTTTATTTTTTATTTTAATCAAAAATGTTTTGTTTTAATCAATTCATTTAAATTTTTTTAGTTCCTTTTTCTGTACCTCTAGCATGAACAACTTTCGTCTTCGAATCGTTTGCGTATTCGATAAAATTCGATACTCAATCTTCGAATTAAACGATAACGTGACAATTTTAATTCTCAAAATAAGTTTCTTGCAACCACATCTCATACTAAGTTCACTTTACGATACGTTCACGAGGGCGCTGTTGTAGTTTTCTTACTAAGTAAATCTTTTGATGGCGATTCGAGTAGGTACGCAAACGATTTGAACTCGAAAGTATTTTGTGCTAGCCGTACTGGTATATCCTTCCTTATCACTTTTTTTTTAAATGATATGTTTTTTTAAGTCTCACTCTTTGCAAATTACGTCATTTAGAAAACATTTTTAGAACAGTTATTACTATGATAGTGCACATCAAATAAACACAGTTTCATTGATAAGTACCTACCTACAATGTCATAACTCTTAAAAACTATGCACATAGTTAAAATATTTGCTTAATTTTTATGAGTGAGTAGATAAGCTATAAGCCACCTTCGGCCATCAGGTGAGATGCAGGCCAAGAGCTTACTCGTGAATAAAATATGGTCATATTCCTAGAGCTTGTTCAACATCATCATCATCATCATTTCAGCCATGGGACGTCCACTGCTAACCAGAGGCCTCCCCCAATGATTACCACAATGACCAGTTGGTAGCGGCCTGCATCCAGCGCCTTCCTGCTACCTCTATAAGGTCGTCGGTCCACCTTATGGACTCTGAAGGGCTTGTTAATGATATTTATTTGTTTATTCCAGTCGACCACTCCCCACTTCCGTCTCCCGTAACCGGAAACACGTCGGAAAAAGTGTCTTTTAAAGGAAAGGCAGAGTTCGAGAATGGAATCACATGAGAAGAAGGCTGAGGTCGCTGGCGACGCCGGTGGCCATGGAAAGATCACTGTACTCTTTGGTGAACCCAAAGGTAAGGACATCTACTGTATAAAAGCGAAAGATGACCACACTATGACCTAATAAAAGTGTGTCAAAAAGCGAAAGGTGACTCACTCATCACGAAATCTCAAAAACTATAAGGAGTCTCAAATTTTGCATGGGGGTTCCTAGTGATTCTGTTCTTAGTGAGCACCTACGTTCTAATGAACGTAGGTGCTCACTAAGAACAGATTTACGAAACTCCGCCCCTATAAAACGGGATGCACGCGTACGCACGCAGCCGCTAGTAATTATAAAAAAAATAGCCTTTGCCCGCGGCTTCACCCGCGTGAAATTTAGTGTCACAGATCGGCATAAATTATAGCCTATATGTTATTCTGGGTTTTAAACAATAATGCTGTAAAGTTTCATCAAAATCCGTTCAGCAGTTTTTGCGTGAAAGAGTAACAAACATCCAGACATATAGACATCCAGCCTTTCGCATTTATTAGTAGGGTTAAAAAAAACGTATCGCCTAATGCGGGATTCGAAAGCGACTACTCTTCAATCTGAGGTACACACACACGGCCACACTGTTAACTATCCATTTCCGATTTTCTCTCGCTCTCATCAAATGGTGTTTCTTTGCGATAGAACGAGACGACATGACAGGCAATGGATAGTTAACACTGTTGCCGATGGTACTTAGACACTGGATGAACCCGTCGAAATTTTGAAGTGTAATACACTGTTACGAGACATAATAAGGACAGCGTTGCGAGTCCAATAACAGTTTAAAACTTACCCCCGGGACAATGAATGATACCTACATGAAGTGGCTGCAGTCTTTGACACCATACAGAGACTCGGTATATCCAGTGCTGTCCCGTCGGTAACAAAAGTGTCTACGTGTGCACAGATCTACAGCTTGACCGCCAATAACCCAACCAGTGAAGGCCAAGTTTGTCCCAAGGAAAGTTAAACTGTCATTTGACCCGCAACGAAAGTAATCAGAAGAACACAGGAAGAATTAGAAGTTATCGTTAAACTAAACTATTGACCAAAATATCTTTTCCAAATCTTTTTCCAGAGAACGGCAGCCCCGTACCCAAACGACGCCTGGAGAATCTCGACGACCTCTTCCCATACATCGGCCAGTTCGGCTGGTACCAACGAGCTCTGTTCCTACTGATGATACCCTATGCCTTCTTCTTCGCGTTTGTGTACTTCGCGCAGATCTTCATGACCGTGGTGCCTGAACAGCACTGGTGCTTTGTGGAGGAGCTGGCCAATTTGACGGTGGAGGAACGGTGAGCCATTCGATTCCTGACCTTTAAAAGGTTTAGATACCTGTTAACGATACGTTTTGATGAATGGTACAAAGAGACAGATTTGGTGGTAAAATACGTAAGAAATCAAAATACTTCAGAATTGAAGGTATACGAGTAGCAGCTGGAGCAGAATAACTAGAAAAAGACCGTTTTAAATACACCCAAAAGATGGCGCTGGATGCAGGCTGCTATCAGCCGGCCAATCTGGAAATCATTGGGGGATGCTTATGTTCAGCAGTGGACGTCCTGTGGCTGAAATGATTATGATGATGAATCAAAAGATTGTCCACTGGACCGGGACACAAGACTGATCTCAGTGGAAATCCTTGGGGGACCAAGGATTTTCACTGAGATCAGTCTTGTATTGCTCGCATCCAGACATCCACAACTCTCACCAAAATTGTCGGTCCATCTACGTTACATCTTCCGTGATAACTCGAGTACCTCTCTGTCTCAATAGCCATCAGTTCTTTGAGCCTAATACGTTTAGTGATTCTGTGTGCTCTAAGGCTGGGTTGCATCATCTTACTTTACTTTACATCAAACATCAAAAATAATGTCAAACTCCATACAAAAAACACATCTAGTTACGGTAAAAGGCTGCTGGTGCAACTCAGCCTTAAGTATCATTAAATTAAAATATCATTTAATGATATATGTAAGTAGGTAATTGTTTGTTTGTTTTTATTTTCGTTTTAGACGACACCTCTCCATACCCCTGTCTGCCAGCGGCTACGACAAATGCATCGTATACGACGTTGACTGGACAAAACTATTACAAGATGGCATCCGCGAGCCCAACGCAAAATGGCCGACGAGGAAGTGTGAGGAGAAATGGGAGTTCAACTTCACTGATGTGCCTTATGAGACTATTGCTTCACAGGTAATTTTAAATTAAAACAAGAAATAGTTCTCATGGACAAACACCTGTTTACACAAACGATGCTTGCTTAAGTGACCCAGCAAATCAAACGCACAGCGTTGATTAGAGCTCTGTGATTGGTTCGTGTGTGACCCTGTGCGTTCACGCGCACTGTGAAACCTGTGTGTGTATACGGGCGTAAGAGCCAGTGGACGCCAGACTTTACGTTATTTTATAAAAGCTGAAAGTTCGTCAGCGCATGCTCTCAATATAAGTAAGAACGTTGGACTAGGTCATCGTGGATTTGGCAGCTACACTAAAATGCTTGTTTGGCAAGGGGATGGATTGGTCAAAAACAAAACTGGATTCCGTAGGAAAGGGCCCTAAGCGTTACATTACATGAAAATGTTTTTGGTATTTTGATTTTTTTTAATGCATAAGGAGGCAGGTAGGTATTTGACCTCAATCGCACCTGGTGTTAAGAGAGATACTGTCTAGGATGATACATAATTATCTGCCTTGTCAGTGCCTATTCACTCTCGAAAAGGCCCGGATTATCCTGTAATAATATATCATCAAATAACTAAAGCCTATTTTCCTTTTCAGCTTGGCTGGGTTTGTGAAAGAGACAACTACGCGACCACAGCTCAGGCCGTCTTTTTCTGCGGCGCCATTGTGGGCGGACTCATCTTTGGATGGATCGCCGACAAATATGGACGAGTTCCAGCTCTGCTCGGTAAATAATTTCATTCTTACAGTCCAGTCGAGGATATACAGTTTGACCGCCAATAACCCAACCAGTAAAGGTCAAGTTTGTCTCATCATCATCATTATCATTTCAGTCACAGGACGTCCACTGCTGAACATAGGCCTCCTCCAATGATTTCCATATCGCCCGATTGGTAGCGGCCTGCATCCAGCACCTTCCTGTTACCTTATGAGGTAGACCACCTTGAACGTCCTACGCTGCGTTTCCCTCATAGATAGTTTCTTCATAGATCTTTGATAAAGGATTCAAATTAACTCTAAAGGTCATAGCAGACTTATCAACTCGGAAAGGGATCAACACCGTATCACTTTTCGCGCTGTCAACCGCGAGGCGAGGCGTTTACGTTACGGTGCGGAAAAGTGTGCGTTGCAGTATGGAGTTTCATACAAAAAATACTGCCTCGAGTTGATACGGTTACCATCCCTTTTCGGGTTGAAAGTGCTAACATCATTTAAACTTTTTCCTCAGGCACAAACATGGCGGGTTTTCTAGCTGGAGTTGGAACTGCCTTCTCCAATAGCTTCTGGTCATTCTGTCTCTGCCGGTTCCTGGTGGGATTGGCCTATGACAACTGCTTCGTCATCATGTACATCATTGGTAAGTAGGTGTAGTAGCTAGCTACTTTAATAACTGCAATAAAGCTAGGTTTCTCGTAGAGAACAATGTGTATAGTCGAATCTAATTTAAAAATTTTCGAGAAATGTAAAGTAAGTAGAGTTAGTGAAAAACTAATAAAATAAAATAAAACAATGTTAGCTGTCAATTATTTATTTACTTTGTTTTATTAAGCGACTTCAAAAATGGAGGAGGTTTTGTTTTTCAGCTAAGAACTCCGTCATTTTTACATCGCTTAGAATTTTGAAATTGTCGAATGGAGATATTTGTACCCTGATTCCAGATTAACCTATAAAAATCTTATCAATATCGGTTCACTAGCCTATTAAAATTAAAACCAACTTCAATGTAACTTTATGTATGTACACAAATAAAAGGTACAATGACTGTATGGCCGTCTCACTTTTAGAAAGTTGAAGTATAATTCATGGCCTATCTAAACAATCCTCTTCTTTCCAGTGCTAGAATACGTGGGCCCCAAATGGCGAACGTTCGTCGCGAACATGTCCATCGCCGTATACTTCACGTTCGCCGCATGTCTTCTACCCTGGATAGCCTTAGGCGTGGCTGATTGGAAGGTCTACACATTGATCACCAGCGTGCCTCTAGCCTTGTCAATCCTGACGCCTTGGGTAGTTCCAGAAAGTGCTAGGTGAGTTCCCACCTCTCGTTCCCACCGCTGCAACTCCTGTGTAGCCAGGATCTACAGCTTGACCGCCAATAACCTAACCAGTGAAGGTCAAGTTCGTCCCGGGGGTTTAAACTGTCATTGGACCCGCAACGAAATTAATCAGAAGAACATAGGAGGAGTTCGAAATTAAGGATCGACTTCCTTCCAGTGCAAAGGCTACTAGTGATTTGCATTCTTTTTTTGCTTTCGCATTTAAAGTTAACCTTTTTTTTTACAGATGGCTGATTTCACAAGGCCGCATTGATGAAGCAATGAAGATTCTGTCCAAGTTTGAGAGGATCAATGGGAATAAGATACCGGATGACGTCGCTAAGGAATTCAGGGTGAGCATCCTTATTTCACCATTATTTTGAGACTCCAATTATTTAAAACTGAATTTCATAACTTGAAACAATCTACTACCTCAGATAGACCCACGTCCTTTTGTTTGAAGAGAGACCACTCTGACCAAAGCATTGGGTTGTTGAAATTTTGAAGTCTGGTGATGCCAAACTTAATAGTGACAGTATCCAGGGCACATGGTTCGTAGAACTGATGGCCGTTTTGGCCGAAAGTTATCGAGACCCAGAATGACTGTAGGCAGGCCACCCATACAGTGGACCGACGACCTGGTAAAGGCCACCGGCAGGACTGATCACTGTGGAAATCCTTGAGGGATGCCTTAGACTTGAACGTCTTTGTCGCGTCAGCCCATAACTCTGCTTCAAGAGTGGCGTTGTCAGTAGCATTTATTAAATCTTCCTGCGTGCAGTTGTTGTACCATAAAGTATGTTCTGTCCATTGAAGTAATATTACCGTACACAGTACATTAAATAAATAAATAAATCATTTATTGCTTTACATCATATTTATTTTTTTCATCCTCAACGAGGAAGCTTTTGGCCTGTATCTCACCTGATGGTAAGTGATGATCAGGCCGAAGGTGGAAGCGAGCTTCATCCGGAATCCTCAACCACGGATGAACTGGCTATCTTACCTCTAACTGCCGGAACACAACAATTCTATTAACATTGTTGTTATGGCGACAGACTTAGATACGAGTATCTCAATGGTTCTATCTATATTTCTATCTATCTTTGTACCAGGACACAGCAACAGAACTGGCAAGGCTCGACCAGGAAACGAAGAACTACTCCATCGCTGACCTCTTCAAGACGCCACGCCTCCGTCGTCACAGCATCCTCCTGCTGTTCATCTGGGCTTCCATTGCTATGGTCTTCGACGGCCACGTCAGGAACGTAGGGTCTTTGGGACTTGACATGTTTTTGACGTTTACCGTGGCTACATTCACAGAGTTCCCTGCTGATCTGCTGCTGGTACTGTTGCTGGACAGGTGAGCTGATGTTTTTTTTCTGCCACTTCTTCTCAGAATTAGCCCATAAGATGTCCCGGTCATAAGGCAAGCTATATTGGAACGAGTATAAGCGCCCTGAAAAGGGCAGGACTCGTTGGCTAAGTCGATTGCCTGAGACACAATTTAAATAAAGATTTATTAACTGTAATTTAATTATGGAAAAAACACTATCGTCATAATTATTGTCGAACTCGGTTAAAATGTAACCTGGTTACCTGGGCCATAATAAAGAATTGATTGACACCATATTCATCAAAATTTGATGAATAGTTCAGGCGCTTTTGAGGAACATACATACTCGTAGGTAATTACAAATGCATAGAATACTAAAATCATAACCCTTGACCGTAGTCGGGTAAAAATTAGTTTTTAATAGTTCCCAATTTATAAACTTTTATATTTCAGAGTTGGAAGACGATGGCTTGCGTTCGGGTCCATGACAGTTAGTGGGATCTTCAGTTTCTTGGCTACGACTGTGCCGATAGGTAAGAAAAACAATCGTCATAATCATCAGGTCATATAGTCTCCACTTCAGGAGCACGACCGTCTCTAAGTAATTGACCAGAGACTAATGGAGTAGGCCTACACCCTGCATATTAAGGACGTAGCACATTTATCAATCTGGAAAGGGATCGTAACGGTATCAACTCGAAGCGGTCAGTATTCTTTGTATGAAACTCCATACTGCAACTTATCCGCACCGTAACGTAAACGCCTCGCCTCGCGGTTGACAGCGCGTGAAAAGTGATGACAGCTCGCGAAAGGCGATACGGTGTTGATCCCTTCCCCAGTTGATAAGTCTGCTATGACCTTTAGAGCGCTTTCACATTAGGGCGTTAGTAGCGCGACTGCAGCGGCGTTTTTATATTGTGAAGGCAGGCATCCGCTCTCACATAGTATGAAATTTTCGGCAGCGCGTCTGTCGCGCGTTTGTCGCGCTGCTAAATCGCCTAAATGTGAAAACGCTCACTATCTTTTATGATATCCATGATTGCGAATGAAAATGCGGGCCCCATAGCTTGTTTTGAATCTCCATCTCCCGAATGCTAGAAGTCAGAACAACCAATGAAACAGAGTCTACTGGACAAAGGGCTCTCTTAAGGATTTTCACAACGACCGATCCTTCCCTGCCCGCATCCAGGTGCTTCTCACCACTCAGTAAATGAGCCAAAAGCATGCTACTAAAACTTTGAACTTGTTTGAAAACACTCTTGTGGCGGAGTTTTGACACTGTGTATGTTTGTTGTCGACACGAGAAGAAGAAGAAACTTTGAACTTCTCCTATTTTCTACTGAACAATTTCGTTGACAGTTTAACTTTCCCCGGTGCAAACTTTATCTTCACTAGTTGGGTTTCTATTGGCAGTCAAGCTGTAGATCCTGGCTACCCACGAGTTGCAGCAGTGGGAACGAGAAGTAGGAATAGTAGTAGTCTCGTAGCATATTAAAATTTATTTTATTTTCTTCCAGGCATTCCCTCAGCCTCGCTAGCTATTGTAGGACGATTTGCCGTCAATATCTCATACAACATCGGCATGCAGTACGCAGCAGAGATTTTACCAACAGTGGTACGCGCCCAAGGATTGGCTCTTATCCATATAATTGGATATGTCGCTACTATACTCGTCCCGTATATTGTGTACTTGGTAAGTGTTTCTCTTTAATTGATTTATTTATTACTACGTAATCATTCGCAAATAAGGTCTCCGAGTCAATCATGATATGGCATTCACTTTGCTTCAATTGAGTACATTTCACTTCACTTCCCTTCTCTTCACTGTGCTTCACTTCACTTCGCTTCGCTTCACTTTGCTTCACTTCACTTCGCTTCTCTTTTCTTCACTGCGCTTCACTTCACTTTACTGTACTTCGCTTCACATCAGTTCAATACTCTTTAGACTTTATTATTTCATTTGATTTTGCAAGTTATGTCTTGATTTTTATCAATAAACATCAATGCATTCAATTTACTTCAGTTAATTTCACTTCACTCTGCTTGGGTAGATTTGGGCAAATAAAATGCAAAATTCTTAAAGTTTTTTCTATCTTCCAGGCAAAAATAGCTGTAGAAATTCCTCTACTGATCCTGGGTGCTCTCGGAGTGTTCGGCGGTTGTCTATGCATGTTCCTCCCCGAGTCTATGGGCAAGAGGATGCCAACTACAATCCAAGATGGCGAGGACTTCGGCAAAGGGCAGAGATTCTGGGACATACCTTGCTGCTCTAGGTAAATATTCATGAGAAATAGCCCAAATAAGAAGTAGCTATAATGAGAAGTAATCCAATAGCGAGTCGGTTGCCTTAATGAGAATTAGCCCTAATACGCCTAAAGGATATTATTATGTCAGCCATAGGGCGTCCACTGCTGAACATGGGCCTCCCCCAATGATTACCATAATGACCGGTTGGTAGCGGCCTGCATCCAGCGCCTTCCTGCTACCTTTATGAGGTCGTCGGTAGTAAGGTCTCATGGGATTCAAACCCATACCTCTGTCAAACTCTAACCACTAGACCAAATATACGTTGCATTATCTAAAGGTCACTGATTGACTGACTCACTCATCACGAAATCTCAGAAACTACAAGTGTTAGGAGTCTAAAATTTTGCATGGGGGTTCCTTTTAGAACGTAGGTGCTTACTAAGACGGGATTTTGCAAAATTCCACTCCTAAGGGGGTAAAACGGGTTCGCGTACGATAATTATAGTAACATATTGTTTTGTTACAGAACTGTGGAGGACGTCGAAAAATGAACAAACTGGAGAAAAAATCTCAAAGAGAATGTATTTACTTAATAATGAAAATAAATTGGTTATTATTACTACAGTAGTTTTTCTTGTAAGTTAACTTTCAGACAATGTTCCTAAATAACTCAATAAAACTCATTTATTTTTGCAAGTAGGCTTTTAAAAAGCACTTTCACACGTCCCACTATTAAAGCTACTACTGCTTCGGGACAATAAATGGGCCAGTGCTGAGAAGAAGCAGCGCAAGAAACTCAGTCACTATTATACCTACCTATTGACCTAATACAAATACAATTCTTCAGCCGTGAAACCGGAGCGTAGCGCTAGTGTTAATGTAGGTAGGTATGAATGAAATTTTATCAATTGAGTTACTAGGCCAGTGTGCAAAACCATCTAAAGAAAAAACCTCAAAAAAGGAGGATCTATCTGTCGGTACTGAACAATAGAAAATGCAGTTAATCTTGTATAAAAATAAAAGTTCACGCTGTTTACAGTTTGACTCACAGCGGACGACCAACGTAAACATTAGTGATGGGAGCTACAGTTATCGATACAGCACATATAGATCGTTTCATCCACGAAGACGCGCCTCACCATTCTTCCGCTAATGTTTGAGTGTTATCGGTACACGCTAAATCATCCATGAGTGCACACGCACACTACAATAATGACGCTCGGATTGCTCGGATCAAACTCCCCGCACCCCGCGCGACCGAGACCAAACATTGGTGGGACGCGTCCGAGTGGATGAAACGATCTATGACAGCGCATCAAATATTTACACTCGAAGTCTTTTTCTAAGGACTCGTTCCCATGGCAATTCAGTTTTCCGGAATCCAGTAATGCAGGATCCCACAAAACTAGACTGTCGTAAAAACACATTACGGCTGAGTTGCACCATCTCGCTGTAACTTTCACAACCGTCAGAAATCTACGGTTAAAATTAGGTGGTGCAAGTCAGCCTTGGTGTTTGAAATTCGAATTACAAATTCGAAAGGATCGGTATTTTGCGGGACACTGCAAACAGGATGTTCGTGAGGGATTCTTCTACAAGAATTTTCTTTCAAACTTAGGTTTAACATCATTCTGGGAATCACGAAAACTTGCAATTATATCTTGTTAAACATTACTCTGGAGTACACATACCAAAATTATTTTTACTGCACAAATTACTAATAGTCCCGTGTTAAGCTAAATAAGCTTGTGTTACGAGTGGGCTCACCACAATAGCGGCGGTGGGATTCGAACCCGCGTTCCTCGAATCTTGAGTTGACCAATCCGACCACTTCACCGTTGGGCTATAGTGGCTATCGGTATCATAAATGAAAACATCGATATCGACATTTCTCACAACTAACATCACCACGCCAGCTTACAAACAAACCAAAAGCATTTTCGGATAACATTTCAAATACATCCTAAATTCCTGCACTCTCGATTCAGTCGCGGCATCAATGTGACGCTATAGTGATGTCCTTAACAATATTACTATCGATATTCCTAAATTTTAATTTAATTTATGCAACTTATCTAAATGCAGAGTCAAACTTTCTCAGGCCACAGTTGGAAAGAAATAATATTATTAATAAGGGTGTATGGGTGAGGGATCCTAAAGATAGGTTGTTTGAGAAATCCAATGCAGGGGAGTTCATTTTTAGGGCAAATTCCTTGGATGTGGACAGCTTACTGCAGAACAATTTTGATGCGTTCGGTGACAATGGCATGCAGGACTCTCCGGGGATTTCGAGTTACGTTGAAAGGACGAAGCGGTCTGCGAACAGTAAGTGATACTTCAATGGATTGTTTAATTATATTTATAACCGCCTCTGTGGTCTAGTGGTAAGACCACCTGCTTCAGACGCAGAGGTCCCGGGTTCGATTCCCAGTAAGGGCAGATTTTAAAGTTCGGTTTGTTTGGTGGTAGGGCTTATTCTAAGTCCGCCTGGCTAGCTACCACCATCTTACCTAAGTCTGTCGTCATAACAACAATGTTAACAGCATTGTTGTGTTCCGGCAGTTAGAGGTAATATAGCCAGTTCCTCCGTGGTTGAGGATTCCGGGTGAAGCTCGCTTCCACCTTCGGCCTGATCATCACTTACCATCACGTGAGATACAGGCCAAGAGATACCTTGTTGCGAATTAAAAAAAAATGTTTTTACTATTGTGTAGTTGACTACAGAAGACCCCGAAGATACCACAACAAGTATCGTTCTGAAAGTGTCTTTCTCACAATTAAAATTTAAGTAGGTACTATCGGCAACAGTATTAACATTGCCGGTCATGTCGTCTCGTTCTATCGCAAAGAATTGATGAGAGCGAGAGCAAAAACGGAAATGGATAGTTAACACTGTGGCCGTGTGTACATACTTAAGGTACATACTCGTATCCATTTCGTTTTCAATAACCTAGCTGTCCAACTAGTACTTTGGAAATAGTACCTATCAATCATGTTAGTAGACGAACCAAGTAACTGTGAGATAGTATCTTGATAGAATATTCATAAAGGTTAACATTTGGGGCCCACTGAAAACCAGCGTCGTGGCCTTCCCCACCGTGGGCCACGGCATATGCTGAGTGGAGTCGCATTGCGATGGGCATCGCTGTTGCGACAGGATAGCACTGCTCAGTCACTTTTTATTTCCTTGTAATATTTATGTGCTGTTTCTGTCTTTTTTTCTGTATACGTTCTCTGTCATGTATAAGTGATGTTCATCGTAATAAATGTTTCTTTCTTACTTCTTTCATTTTTGTGGGAGATATTAAATCCTGACACCATTAGCCCTAGGATCCGCGCCGCGATAAACTTTTAATCATTACGAAAAATACATATGATACGCCCATACATTTACCGTCTAAAATCGTCGATGAGAGTTTATCACGACGCACGTATCCTTTTTCGGCAGGGCAGGGTTGTACTCTCAGCTGTTCTATCCTACACTAAAAGAGAAGGTGAAGCAGCTGGAAAAGACTAGTCTATTTCTCTCGATTTCCCCATGACTAACACTTTTACATCCTCAGATGAAAGAAAAAGAATTCTACGTGAAAGTATGAAAGAATGCAAAGGCGATAAGGACTGCGTTCTTCATAATATAGACGATAAATTCGTGAAATCTAAACTTATATCAAAACTTAAACCAACATCCGTCTTTAATGATTATCCTTACGAAGTTGCTATTCTATTAGAAGATAATAAACTAGATGACAACAGTAGCAACAATATAAAGAGAGTTAAAGAGAGCACAGATGACAATTCAGTCATTCCTTTATATACGAATAAAGAATCACCTCAAGTGAACATAGAATCACTCGTCAAAACTGAATCTAAGGTCGAAACAGCTATCAATAATACCATAACACCTAAGCGTAGCATGAAAAACGAATACGAGAGCGAAGTGATAAAAAAAATCGAAATCAACGAAGAAATTGACAGTGACAATAGCACTAAAGTTGACCGTAACATATTTGACAAAGAAGAACGAGTATGGCATCAAAATATGCCGATGTCTGACGCAAATGCCTACAAAATTTTGCCTAAATATCCGAGCTCGAAGAATAAGCCAATAAATGAAAGAGGACTTATCAAAGTACTCTCAATGCTTACAAAAACGTTCAAAAAGATAATGAGACAGCACAGCGACATCAAGAAAATACACAGCAAACTGCACTTAATAAACGATGAAGTTAAAAGAAATATTGCTGATATGAACAAAAAATTCAAAGATATCGAAGAGAAATACTCTCACATTGTAACTTTAAGCGACAAGATGAAAATTTTCGAAACTAGCATGAATTTAAAGGAAGAATACTTTAAAGTTAAGGACACTGAGATGTCCAAAAATTTGCTAGAATTTGAGAACCAACAAAAGAAGTTTTTGACGCAGCAACGACAATTTTATAACATACAGAAATTGATGCTGGCACAGAACGAAAAGATTAACATGAAGCAAAATCTAATAGCCAAGACTCAGAGCGAGATTTCACATAGACAGAACAATTTTGCTCGGATTCTTAAAAAAGCAAAACAAATCTACATAGACAATAAACAGACATCCAAGATTTCAACCACAACCAAACCAAACGTCATTAATGATACTGATGAACCTGCTAGAATAACTCATACAACAACACAGGCCCCAATAGCTACAGAATCAATTAAAATCAACCTTTTTTCTATACCTTCTCTAAACAAATTAGTCAATCAAGATACTTTGCTGCTAAAAGATAAAGATGAGCAGCCAGTTGATGATTTAGTTTACAAATACTACTTTAACAACACTTTTATAGATAACCTCATGAAGAGCAAAGTTCTATCAACTTTTATGACTACAGCTGAGAACGCGGAGATTGCAAGAAACGCCAAAAACAAAAGGAATAAAGACGAATTAGAAACTACGATCTTATTACCGATAAATAAGATTGAAAATGGAGGTGCATTAAACAGAGAGAGAAGGTGGATTCACCATATGTCTAAAGCGAAACTGAAAAAGATATCTAGAGGCAAATCTAGTATTACCAATTCAGATATAAAAGATGAGAAACCACTAAAAACTAGAGCAGAACGTAATGCCTCTAACAATGGTATTAAAACAACAAAGCTATTCGCAAAGGACAAAGCAAATCCGTACCAAATAATGGCCAAAAACTTTTGTACGGAAATCGGTCAGAATAAAAATGTCCAGATGCTGAGCTGGTGTATAGAGAAAGCGTTAAGACGATTGCAGTATATGGGTAAGTTATTAAATAGAATATTATCATCGTCTTATTGCAAGAACTCATTGATTAGAAACTTATAGACATCGGTTAGCAAACTTTATCAATCATGAACATAATTATCGACTATGGACTACTTCAGACTTATACCATAGGCATAGGAAATAACGTTTTTTGTAAAGGTAGAAGATAGTGAAATTTTGGTCCATCTGTACCAGGTGAATTCATTGTTAAAACTGAGTTCTTACAAAAAGCCGACGAAATCTAAATAATGCACAATATTATAAAGGTGATGAAACTATTAATAATAAAACTAGTACGTTTAAATTTAATAGATTAAGCACTTAATTATAACTTTGCATCTACTTATTGAAGTCTGATTTTTTTTATTGCCATTTATTTTTAAATAAGTTGACCTCCAACTTTATCCGAAAATACGAAGTTTAATAATACTAAACACATATTCCACTTTATAGATTTCCCAGCACCGGCCCCACCGCCAGAGAATACCAAAGTAACAACCCAACAAGTAACCACCGCTGCAACTACTAAGATCTTACCACTCCCTAAAAGTTCTAAAGGTATGTATAAAAATATTACGTATGAGACGTGTAAAATGCCTTGAAAAGGACAAGAGGTATTAAAGAAGTAGAATTTGACTTAACTTAATTATTTCTCTATTTAACTATAGCCTCATGTGGTTTGCACATTATTATAAATGCAGTTCGTTCGTTTCAACCGAATGACGTCCACTACTCCGAAGGATCCAAGGCCTCCCCGAAGGATTTCCACAAAGACTGGTCTTGCGCCGCATCCATTCCCTGGTCAAATCAGAAATGAGGAGATCCGCAGGAGAATTAAAGTGATTGACATAGCCCGCAAAATCGCTAAAATCAACGGACACATAGCTCGCAGAGCTGATGGCCACTGGGGCAGAAAAGTTCTCGAGTGGCCTTGGGGGAGGCCTTTGTCCAGCTGTGGACGTCATTTGGCTGAAACGAACGAATGAACCTACTTGATGACTATCCTTTTGCCTCTAGTAAATTAGAGAGTCGTGGTCCTGCAGTGGAGACTAAATGACCTGATGATGTTGCCGCTTCTATTCAAATATTTTCTTTGTTTAAATTAAATCATTCATTCGGAATATGATATTTTTAGCTTTTTACAAGAAATGTTCTTCTCTCAGGATCATCAGCAGTCCCACGTGTCTTTACATCGACTCCTTCATTGCCAACATCAGTTACTACTTCAAAACCACTAGCAAATAGTAACTTGATATATTTTCCAGGTAAATTAATATTTAATGTATGTAAACTGTTTTTAGCTTTGCGCAAAATCTCTTCAATTTAATTAAAACCTATGATAAATTCTTCAAAAATATGTTTGGTCAGGTGATTTTGTTTAGCCCTTTAAGTACTTATCAGCGAAACGAAATACAATAATTGAAATCAATCGTTACCGCGGTCTCATGCGATCACTTAGGCCTAGAACAGACGGTGAAACGCAACTGCAACGAAACTGCAACTTTCTGATGATTCTGATGAATGAAACTGAAACTGAAAGTTTCAAACTGGTCGCGTCATGTGTGGTCTCTCAACGGACGCTATGGCAGAAACTTAGATGCAACTCAAAAGTAACTAGCAGTTGCAGTTTCGTTGCAGTTGCGTTTCACCGTCTGTTCTGGGCCTTAGAGTCCCACGAGATATCTGATAATTCAAATGTTTGTATTGTTCAGATAATGAAGAATTGGAGTCAAACTTGAAACAATACGGTAAGATCTAATAATAACACACTTTATTGGTCTAATCTAAATATTGAATTGCAACAACAAAAGCTTCAAGTTATAACAGGTAATCTAGTTTCGAATTTCATTCTGTACGACTTCATGTGCTTTGTATTCTTTCAGATCTTAAACCTGACACTGAGGGCAACGTATACTATGATGGAAGCTTACATTCAAGCGATATTGGTAAGTAACAATAAGGAGAAAAAATAGAAAAGAAAATAGTAACTTAGTATGAAAGAAACAGCGTAGGACCCACAAGGACAGACGACCTTATAAAGGTAACAGGAAGGCGCTGAATGCAGGCCGCTATCAACCGGGTGATGTGGAAATCATTGGGGGTGACCTATGTTCAGCAGTGGACGTCCTGTAGCTGTATGATGATGACAGAAAGCACGAAAAAAAGAAAATTAGTCATATTGAAATAGAAAAGAGATTCCAAAAAAGTCAATGGGCTATAAATGAATCTAAAAATTCAAATTAATTATTGCATATCAGGGTTGAAAAACATAGATAGTTAGGCACATGTGAGTGGAATATGTATGTTTTCTAACTAATATTTGTGTGTTTATTTCTAGTTGGACTTGGGATGCCAGATAGCGAAGGCTTGTCAGACATCATGCCGGGCTTTGAGAGCAATTCCAGAATAGATGTAGACCCTTACGTCTTCGATCTTCAGGCCAGGAGACGGGAAACTGTTAGAAGGTACTTAATTATATTCTTCTAGAACATCATCATTTCAGCCACAGGACGTCCACTGCTGAACATAGGCCTCCCCCAATGATTTCCATAGTGACCGGTTGGTAGCGGCCTGCATCCAGCGCCTTCCTGCTACCTTATGATGTCGTCGGTCCACCTTGTGGGTGAGCGTCTACTATGTGCCCTGCCATTTCCACTTCAGCTTGCTAATCCGTCGTGTCATTCCTCTAGAACTTGATTTTTATTTTATTTTTAATTTAGTCTCCACTGCAGGAGCCTGACTCTCTTTAATTTACCAGAGGCAAATGGAGGATTTGGTCAAACTCCCCACGGTGGCCAGACGGGTTGGGGAGGCCTGATGTTCGCTTATTTTGTTGTTTCTGAACTGTTTTCCTAAAAATATTATTTTTCTTTTTCAGAATAAACGAAAACATAATGAAGAAAGTAATGTATGGATAAAATACGTTAATGAATTAGACTTAAATGTATGGTAAAGGCTCTCACACATTTGGTTGAAACGGAAACGGAAGCGCATGACATTGCATCAGTACCTATTGGAAACATAGTATTAAACCTCAGATCATTCTATGATCTGAGTATTAAATAAACGTGTACTGTAGGATCACTAATAAAAATAAATAAATAGGTCGCATTTCAAATAAAAATTATTTATTGCTAAAGTTACGGTTGCTGAAAAGTGGAGGTTTTTTTATCTGATTTGAATTTAGTTAAGTAGTAACAAGTACCTAAAGTGCATAACATGCAGTCAGCGTCAAATAGTCAAATGGTCAAAAAGATGACAACACAACCTTATTCCAATGAGGGCTATCGTTTTTATACTTAACAGTTGGCACCCCTGGCGATTGACAGGACCTTACTCTACAGAGGCGCCATCTTGACGAGTGGAAATGCGATAGTCCTCCTACCACTTAGCGCTCACCAGTTTGCGCCACTGTCTTCGCTACTAGCAAGTGACAGGACCTTACCGCCAACTGGTGAGCGCTAAAACGATAGCCCTCATTGTAACAAAGACGTGTTGCGAACTTTTGGCTACTTTGGGTGTCACTATTTGTCGATGTTTTATCTGGTTTTACTGAACAATGACAGTCAGTGGCAGATATTTTGTAAAAATAATTTTGTGTTTCTCCAAGAATTATTAACTTGAGTGTGTGAGATCCTTTATGTTGAACAAAATGCAATTTTTATGTACTAAATTGGATAATAAATATTAAAGCAAATATTGTAAACCAACCGATTATTTATTACATTTTTCCCTTTTAACTTAAGATTATTTTAAATTCTGAGACGACTACAACGATATCAATGGACTAGCAATTCGAGGGTCGCTAGTTCGATTTCCGCCAAGGTCTGAGGTGGAATTGTGTAAAGCAATCGTTATCATTTGACAGTTCATAACGTACGATTATTCTGTCAAACGCTTTGTTATCTGACTTTATCGTACGTTATGAACTGTCAAATGATTACGATTGCTTTACACAATTCCACCTGTCTGAACTGGTGGTAAAGCCACTCTTAACACAAAAATTTAGCTTAGCTGGACGATAAACCTTGGCTTATTTAGGTTCGATTCCTGTAGCAAGGAAATTAATTAGTTATTATATTATCCATACCAATTTTCATCCAAAATGAAAACTACTAAGGCTGCATGAGTTGCACCATCTTACTTTAACTTTGACAAACGTCAAAAATCTGACAAACTCCATACAAATAGCACCGGTTATTGTTATGGCTACGGTTAAATAAAATAAGGTGGTGCAACTCAGCCTTTAATAAGGTAGGGTAAAAAGATTATGAGACATGTAGATGCTCCTTTAACCGACGAGGTGCGGTCTCACAGACCGCTCCGGTTTTTTAAATTTCTGGATTGCAATGTTCTACTTACTCCCGTGTCCCGAGCGTCTCAGTACCTTCGAGTTTAGTTGCCCAAACGCCATTACAGGTAATGGTTACATCGACGAGGGCAGTTTTAATAAGATAATTCGATTTAAAGTTCAACAGCGGTCTGTGGGACCGCACGTCGCAGACTACGTGACATTTTTGTACCATACTGAAACTGGCGTTTTTGTTTTAGACGACTAATATTTCGTAAAAATGATGGATCCTGGGCCACCACAACCTAGGAAAAGACATTTCCTAATGATATATTGATATTTGAACATAATATTATGTAAAAGATGGTAGTCTGTAAAAAAATACCGCGAAACGGGTGGTAAAGCAAACAGTGACATGTATTCTAAGCTCTGACATGCCAAATCAGCCTGATGTCATTGCACCAGCTGCAAAAAAGACGTGGGTGAATATCCCAAACACGTTTTTTACGCGGCGGAGCTGATAATCGATGGGAGAAATGTAACTAGAGCGATGATTTTTTTTCTGTATATAGTTTATACAGCGTTTTACACGATAGCAAAGTCTTCAGGACAATAGGTAGTTATTTTATGTACTAAAAAATTTTTCAAAGACCCAAAATCTAATAGCGGTGGCGCGTCCTAACTCTATTTCTACTCATAAATTGTGTTATTCCTTCTTTCTCGGGGATTCTAGTAATTTAAAAATAGTATAGCCATAAAATACATTAAATAAGACTTCCAAATGATATGAAAGAAATGTGATATTTCATATTTTAAGTGTTTTTAATAGCCTTTCAAAACTGTCCCACGAAAAAAAGCAATTACAGTGGCTCAATTTCGACACTCTCTTACTTCTCCAAAGAAGCTTTGAGAGACGTAGAGTTCTTCTTCCCTGCATCACTCAACTGTGTCCTCCTGATCGGGCTATAAAGACTTGCGACTTGTGGTATTGTTTTTCCAGCAGACCCGTAAATATTAGTATCAGCGGCACAGGAATACAAAATTTTTCAATTTCGCTGGCAAGTGTATGAGTGAAAGCTACTTACTTAGATGCTAAACGATTCTTTAACATGATTAAAGTTTGGTGTTTTGTTGTATCTGCATACAGAAATTATTGATCAGAATTATAGTTTTCTTTATAATTTGAATTTTGTAACAGTTTTTCAATTCCGGTGGCGCAATTTCGGTGGCTCCGGTGGCGAATCTATTGCCGGAATTGGTCTTATTGGCTCTGGAGCATTGTACCTAGGTCTACTAAGGTCTCAGTCATAACTACAATATCGTCAGTGAATCGAAGTTGTGTGATGTACTCGCCGTATCTTGATACTGAGCTCGGTCTAGCTCAGAAGCTTGAAAACCTCTAAGTGGGAGGTAGTGAAGACTTTAAGAGATTATGGTGTCTCCAACTCTGAACCCTCGCAGCAATCAGATAAGTTTCGAGTTCTGATCTTGGGGGAGGGCTGATATGATGAAGTTTTCATACAAATACTTCAGAAGTTGCATGTATCGACAGTCAATTTGACGCCATTAAAGAGACTGTAGCACAGCCCAGGTCTTGACCGAATCGAAGAAGGTACAAAAAGGCCAATAATAATGACTGATTATAGTCCTCAGTCTTCTGCATAATTTGACGCAGCATTAAATATGTACGTAGTATTACAAACGTCTTTTCGAAAATGAGGTTGTCTGGGAGACTGGATGTTTCAGGAAAAAGCTGCCTCATCTGACTCTGGACCATCGCCAACGTCCATTCCATTCCAGTCTCTAGCACCACCACCATGTCTTATTTTTTGGTTTATCGACCATTAAACATGGTGGTATTTAAGAGAACTTTAGTACTAGCATTCCATCTGATTTCATAAGCTCAGTTGTGATTTCATTATCTTCTGGTACATCGTTCGTTCGTTTCAGCCAAATGACGTCCACTGCTGGACAAAGGCCTCCCCCAAGGTTTTCCACAATGAACGGTCCTGCGCTGCCCGCATCCAGGCTCTTCCCGCGACCTTTACCAGATCGTCGGTCCACCTAGTAGGAGGCCTGCCCACGCTACGTTTTCCAGCCCGTGGTCGCCACTCTTCTGGTACATACCTTGTTGTTTTTAATAGGGCATTCTAATCTCACTCAAGCTAAAGTCTAGGATATCTTCGCTAAAGTGTCGGAATAGTCTCGATTTTCAGCCTAATTACTAGTAGTGCTTCTTAATCTCTCCTAGCAGCTTAGGCATTTACCAAAATGGTTATGATATCCTCGTTATTCATGTTGGTATATTCAATTTGGTCCTCGCAAATACATACTTTCGATTTATTACAAAAAAATCGTCTCTATAATACACTTTGTATCNTACATTTTAGTCCATCTAAATTGAAAACGAAATTATCTTACAGGTGTTACCTATGCATTCCGAAAATGCTTAACATGCAGTAAAAAAATGACCTGATTTTGACTGATGTTTACCCTATGTCAATTTTTTTTGTGCATGTAATATACGTGTCATTTATTTTTATTTTATTCATTATGTTCACTATATTTAAGAAGGAGTGTAGTTTTTCTTGCTTTGATTAAAATTTACAAGTTATATAAGTATTATTAAGGGTCAAAAAAGTTTTAGCCATATTTAAATAAAAAATATACATTGATTCCTCGCAAATTATACGTATGTTTATTTGTAATACTATAATGTTCTCAAAAAATATAAAACCAATATACTTTTATACAAAAAAATATTACTTTTCGAGTAAACAGTATAGCGGTCCCACAGACCGCACGTCGCAGTCATTGTAATGTTTGTGATGAGAAAATAAATACTATTAAATACTATTTATACTTACCTTGTTAAGGACGCAGTGTAGCCATGACAAAAAATATCTGGAGGACAATGGGAGGGATTGGAGGGAATATACTAAGGATTCCAAAGCAGGCATGTTTGAATCGCTTGAGGAAAATGGTACTCCAGCTCTGTTTTCAGAAAGAGCTGGCAGGCTTTAATAATAATGAGATTTAGTTCCTAAAAACTTGTTCTATTTTAAATCATCGAAATGACCATAATTTGAGTAAGAATTGAAGAAAAGCAGCAAGAGATAAACTCCCATATTCACAAACATTACTATGAGGTCTCACAGTGCGCGTGAACGCACAGGACATATGAACCAGTTCTCTGTTCAATGCTGTGCGTTCGATTTTCTGCTTCACTTAAGCAAGGGTGAAAGAGTTCTAGTGGGGACTATGCTTTGGCAAACGTACCCAGAACGCGCTTTTAGCTCGATAGACGACGACTTCAAGAAGGATGGTTACAAAACTGGATATCACGCTTATGAGGCTTTTCTTTCCTTTCACCAGAAATATTGAAGTCAAAAATGTTTACCGCCTCTGTGCTCTGGTGGTAAACCACTTCAGACCCAGAAACCCCGGGTTCGATTCCCAGTGATGGCAACTGCTTGGTATGGTAAGTGATACTGATAGGGCAAAAATATTGGAGTCAAAAAATTTTACCGCCTCTGTGCTCTGCTAGTAAAACCACCTACTTTAGACCCAGAAGTCCCGGGTTCGATTCCCAGTGATGGCAAAATTTCTGCTTGGTATGGTGGGTGGTATAGTTGTAGTAATTCCACCAAGGTACCACCTTACCTAAGTCTGTCGCCATAAAAGCATTGTTCAGTTCTTTGGTTGTGGATTCTGCATGAAGGTCGCTTTCACCTTC